ATTAACACTCTACCTCTATTAACACTCTACCTCTATTAACACTCTACCTCTATTAACACTCTACCTCTATTAACACTCTACCTCTATTAACACTCCATCTTCCTACAATCCTACCTTCCTGTATCTTTACCTCCCGCCTCCCCCCAACTAACGCATAACCTCACACTCCTCGCCTCCCGCACCCCCCTACTTATCTCTTCTTGCCAACCTCCAGTCCATCCCCCCCACCATAAAAGCAAACCGCCACAACACACCAACACCCCCATCCCCCACCGTAATCCCTAGTAGGAGACACACAAACAAAACCTGTTAGTAAGAGTACCATGCAATACCCTGCACAACGCACTGAACATACATCCCCATTTTCGCGCCAGAAAACACTAACGTGCCCGGTTTATTAAACCTATCCTCGCATGCTACCCGCTTATGCACAGTATGTGTTAGCAAGACTACACAGCACAGAACCTTAACATTTAAATAAGTTAACATTCACCTTTCGTTAAAAATGTATTGTGAGTCTGCTTAACCTAAACAGCATAGTTATTCTTCTACTACTATGCCTGCTCGCTAAACCCTTCTATCAAATCACTGTCCTAGCATCTATTCCAAGACACCTCAGCATGTAAGTACGTATTAATGGCTACATGGGCTGTTGAACACGCGTCTGCATTCGTACATTGAGCAGAAAGTCGCTAAGAGACGATTAATTAGCTCTCTATTACTACTACTATATACTCTTACTAATATCTACTGTGTATTATTTTAGGTTTATAGCGTATTCATGCTTGTAGTACAGGCAGATAGACGCAACACAGTAAGAATCTAATATAGTAACTTAGTGTAGAAGCTAATACCCAGCCCCTTTTTGCACAGTAAACAACAGTAGGAGTACACAGTAAAGGTAACAGAGAGCTGATCAGCATACCGTCTCTTGACGACTAGCTGCTCAATGTACCGATGCGGACGCGTATTCGAGAGCCCAGGCAGCCGAAAATGAGAACTGACGAGCAATCGAAACGCGTGCGCAACTAAAACACAATGGTGACGTAACACATTAATCCCCGTCCTCCAGGGGTACTGTGTATAAAGAGACCAAGTATTAGCGTCTTTACTGAGTTACTATACTAGATTCTTACTGTGTTGTGTTTATCTGCGTGTTTAATGAGCATAGATACGGTATAAACTAAAAATAATTCAACATTCAACACACTTAATATCCACATCCGGTGTATACCGTCTATCTTCAGTCCTTTCAACGCAAAAGCATAGTAAAAAGGTTTTACTGCTGTTTCTCTCTACTAAACTCTGCTGTCTCATAACTACTTTCCTAGTATCTATTCGAAACACATTAGTATGTTAGTACTGAAGAAAGTCTGGTGTGATGTGTAAGGGATATGGATAGGTAAGCGGTTGTGTTTTTTGGATATGTGGAGTGGAACGTGGGTTATTGTGTGGAATTTAGATTTAGGGCTGGAGACTGGAGGGAGGGAAGGGATAGCGTGAGGTAGGTAGGGTGATATGCGAGGGGGGTGGAGGTTGCTTGATGGGAGGGTGTGGGAAATAGTCATAAGAGAAGCGAGGGAGAGAGGGAGAGAGGGAGGGAGATAAGCACATCACAGCAGGACATGACACAAGGATGGAGGAGAATGCAGAGTGCATATTCCTGTTGCAATTCACAGCAAAGCAAGCCCAATAACAGCATTCATTATATTAAACAGTACCGCACTATATTAACCCTCTCCTCCCCTTCCCTTCCCTTTCACAAGCAGACCAGTCTGCCCAATCCATCCCCCACATCCCCCATCCCCTACCCCATACCACCCCTCCAGTATCCCAGCAATGATCATACACCCCCCCCCTCGCAAAAAATCCCGAAAAAATCCACCATCACATCTCATTACCACATAAACCCCCCGATCTAAAAGCCATCTATCCTTACCCGCGCATCCACCATCCTACATAGATAAAATACAACATGATAAAACAGGAAAAAACATACCATCCCATCTAACACGCGCTCACTGCCCGCCAAACCCGCCGTTCCCAGTCTGCATACCGGGGAACTGGATCTCAGGCCAATGCGCATGCGCGTGAGCATGAGTGTGAGCATGAGCATGCGGATGCGGATGTGGATGTGGATGCGGATGCCCCCCGCCATCCATATGCTGCGGATTCTGATTCTGCGGGGGGCCCTGCCCCGCGCCCTCGCGCTCAGCAAGCGACATGAGCGATGTGGCCGTGTTGACGGTGTGCAGGGAGTGGTACGGGGCGCCTTGGCCGAGTTGAGGCTGCGGCTGCATCTGCATGGCGGACCACTGGCGCCAGTCCTGGGGGGTGAGGGCGTTGGCGGGCGTGAGTGTGTTTGCATAGTTATTCTGAGGTTGGGGATGGTGCGGGGTATTGGTTTGGGTGGGTTGTTGTGGTTGGTAGACGTAGTGGTTGTTTGTGTTTTGGGGTTGGGGCTGGGGCGTGCGGTTCGATGATGCGGCTGCCAGAGCTGCGGCGTGCGTGGGGGTCATGACGTTGTCTTCGCGGGTTGTGTATTGCGGTTGCTGGTCGAAGGCGTTGTTGGAGGGTTGGGAGACGGGTTGTAAGTTGTAGGGGTGAGTGAGTGGACCTGTGAGGGTGTTGTAGTTGGGCGATGTGGATGTGAGGGTGGGATCTGTGGGGATGGTGGGTGCTGTTGTGTAGGAGTCGTGGTAGTTGTTGTTCTCGTAAACGGGGGCGGGGGCTGTGCCGTGTTGAGGTGATTGCAGAGCTGCGCGGGCTAGCGACTCGGTGCGCTTGACGATGCTGTCGTTGATGTTTGCGAGAGATTGGTCGACGATTGTCGATATGGCGTTCTTGAGACTGTCTCCAGATCCTGCGACTGTTAGTAACGGTCAAGATGTTTGTAGAGCCCGGCAATTTACTCACCAAGAAAGTGATCACACTCGCCCAAGACGTTGATCCACGTCGCCATATCCCCCTTAAGTCTGGTCATGTCGACCGGCGACATGAGCTCCTTTCGCCTGGACGAGATGAAAAGGGTTGTGAAGATGGCCGCGATATAAACGACCGTATTAATCCATGGTATGTCCAGGCTTTTCTTGTGCATCATCTCGGTGCAATTGAGCAGCATCTTCTGCGACGCATCGAGACATTTGTCCAGGTTGGAATTGATGATAGCCGCATCCATTGATCGGCAGACTGCAGGATGATGCAGCAGCAGCTGGTACGACTGATACCAGTATTCAAGGTACAGGGCGAATATGTGATCATCCTGGCTTGCATGTGACGGGTCTCGCAATTCAAACGGCATATCCTCCTTCCACTGCCGAATACCAGCCTCGAGCCGTTTCAAGTTCTCCACATACGCGCGAGGCGAGTGTCGGACGGAGTATATCAGCTTGTTCAGCGACAATTCCCACACGCAGTGTTTGGCGACCTGGATGCCAACCTGGAACGAACACTGATGGAACGTGTCGAGAGTCCCCTCTTCCCCAGGGAGACAGTCGTTCATCGGCTCCGGGAACTCGACGTCAATGTCATCGTTGTTGACGGGCATTGGTCTGCCCAGCTTCCCAGAAAGGTTGATGGTGAGGGCGTGCAGAGTCCAGAACACGCGCTTCCGCATCTCGATCTCAATTTTGCTCAGCTTGACGGGGCCCTCCGCCCAGGCTTTGACGGAGCGATGCATGCCAAGCTCAGTCGCGAACAGATGCGTCATCGAGGTGAAGATCCAGGCGGCACCAGGCTTAGGGAAGTTGCGGAGGTGGTGACAGATCATGGCCATGGCTTGTATGCTCTCCAGTCTGTGGCTTCCGAGAAGGAGGTCCTTGTAGAAGCTGAGGGCGTACTTGTAGTGGGCGTGCGACTCCTCCATCATGGCGTCTTGCTGGCTGTTCCGGGCGGCGACCTGGTACTTGATGGTAGCGAGCATCATGTGGACGAAGACCGTCTCGGGGGCCGTGGGCGTGAAGTTGGGGTCGTTTCCAAAGCTCCAGACCTGGGGAGGGTGAGTAAACAGACTTGCATAGGAATTACTGGGAACATACCAATTGCATCAGAGCAGGCCTGTGGAGGAGCATCGTGTATGGGTTCAGCGAGCGCAGATACCACCCCGCGTACTCCCTCAAGGCGTTGTACGGCGGCAATTCAATGCGCTCCACCTTCTGGCCTCCCACCGTGATCTGGACCAGGGTGGTGTAGGACATGACCGACTTCTCGTACTCGGCGTCCCCCATCATGAAGTCGGTGAGGTCGACCTGCGTGCCGAAGACAGACAGCGACGTGCCACGGATGTGGCTCAGCAGGGAGTCCCCCGAGGCGACGCCCAGGTAGTTGTCGCCAATGGAGCCGTACTTGAAGTGCGGCAGTGAGGGGAACTCTGAGCTGTCGACGCCACTGCTGGCAGGCGCGTACCCCGACAGCGGCGAGGGGCAGGGTCGCTGCTGCTGCGGGTCCATCCACGCCTGGCTCTCGCCTGCGTGGCCTGCAGACGTCCACGGATGGCTGGGGACGTCGAGGTTGGCGCTGTGCGCGGGCGGCGCGCGGGGGTCAACACCGACTTCCTTCAGCTGAGCCTGCAGGTCGGCGATGTGGGCGCGCAGGCCCGTGTTCTCTGCCTCCATTGCCTCGGCGTGGCCTCGCGTGGTGGCGCGGCCGGTGATGCGGTCGGTGGTGCGACATGGCGTCCTGTTCTGCTCGCACGAGGTGCAGCCTTCGGGGCGGCCATCGCAGCGGATCTTGCGAATCTGCGCGTGTCAGCATTGATACAAGCGTTATATATTCGAGTGGTGGTGAGTAAGGTAAAGTAAAGTAAAGTAAATGGCATTACCTTACAGCGGTCGCAGGCCTGTCCCGTCCGCTTCGAGTCGGCGAGCTTGCGCTTGACGCTGCCGGAGAAGTCGTTGTTGGGCAGGCGGTGGTGCGGGCTGGTGGACTGCTGGTGCGGATGGTGGTGCTGGTGGTCGTGCTCGACGCGCTGGATCTTGTAGCTGGCCGGCGCCTCGTCCTCGCTGCCTCTCTTGGGCGGCATCGAGGCGAAACGGCTCTCAAGGGAACAGCCGACGGCTTGTACCGGAGTCGCGTAATATGCAATGCAAACGCGCTGACACGTTGTGTGGCGCCGAGTGGCTTGCTGCTGCCCGTCTGCTCGAATGCGCTGCTTACCGCGACCGCGCAGGCATTTCCTCCAGACGGCTTCAGGGAGATAGTTGTGGTCGCGAGGCGCAATGCAGATGCAGAGCGAGCGAGTCCAGTGCCTGCACGCTCGAAGATGAGGCCAAGGCAAGCCCGCCGGCAGAAGAGCGATGCGCAACGCACGGAAGCCCGTATCCTGGCCTCCAATTGTCGCGTCGACGCCCTCCCCCAGCAGCTTGACGTGCTCGACATGCCTGGTCGACAACACCAGATCGCCCTGGCCCTTACTGTGTATGCTCGTCATTCGCCGGGCATCCACTCCCGGCGCCATCGCGACACTGCACTCGACCTGCCAAGCTATCAACTCCCCCACTGCCTAACCAATCCAGTCCACTACACCACTTCACAGCACTCGCCAACAACCTGCTTGCTCGTCCACGACGACAAACACTAGCACCCGGCATGTCACTATCCGCCCTCGACCTGCTCAACCACGACCACAACCGCCAAAAACCAAGGTCGAGAGCCCAGGAATAAACTTTCTTTGTCCCGTAAACCAGCAGAAAAACGGCGCCGCGTCGAGACCACCCACCTAACCAGAACCAACTCCCGCCTCACTCCCAAGCCCAGCCAGCACCACACGCGGCCACCAAGATCGGCACCTCCAGCGCCTGTTCCTCGCACAGACAGTCCGCGACCGATAAAAACCGTTAGTCTACTCATTCGACAAAACCGTTAGTTTATTCCCTTTGGCCATCACCCCCCCAAACCAGTCACACTATCTGCTGCACACACCACTCGGCGTCCCAAACCGCGATTATGGCGTCAATTCGCACCTTTACCCTCCCGCACTACGAAGCCTATCCCGTCCACGTAGCCGTTTTCAAACATGTCAAAAACGCTGCCTTTTTGAGGAGTCAACTGCTGGCCGCGAACCCGGAGTTCGACTATGCGTTTCTCGACGCGTCGATGGTAAGACATTGATTTTTGTACATGTATTGCATAACATTATGCGCTTTCTCTACATTCACAATCGCTGTTCACATTTCACATCTCACACTGCACATTTCACTTTCACATCACACGCATACGCATCCACCGCCGATCCCCATCACCCTCCGCGTGCGTTTTAAGAAACTTTATCCACGCGAATCGTACCATGATGTGCGATTACCTAGAGCGATCTGCCCACCTACCTACCCTATCTACAACTACTTTCTCAGCCGTTGCCGATCGCCCAGCCCGTGTCACAAACCACGTGGTTTTATCACCCCTTCCCTTCATCCGAATCAGCGTTTCTTCTTCTTACCTTATTGCGATTGTCCCCACGCACGTACCCCACATTGCATGCAATCTTCAAGTCCCGATTGCCTGATTCTGAATCATATGTTTTTGCTATCCACACGGCCCGATACGCACTCCCGAATACCCAACATCCCAGTCCACACATCTCCCTTCCCTGTCCACGTCTCCCCCCCTCCCCGGCCCCCTCAAACCACACTCTCAAACCACCCCTCCCACCCCTACCTTACAAACGACAAACTAAACAAACAAACAAAACAAAACAAACAACCCCCAACTAACCCCCCAACCAGATCCTATCCCCAACCCACCTCCAAACCGCCCTCTTCACAACCCTCCACCACCTCCTCACCCACCGCCTAAAAACCCACACCCCCCACTCGGAGCTCGTCTTCCGCCTCTCCCCCACAAACAACATCGGGGACTCGTACCGCGTCTTCGGCATAGCGGATACGTCGACGCACATCATTGCCGTGAAGCTGTGTGTGCGGGGGGATGGGAGTGTGGATGAGGGGGTGACGGCGGGGGGAGTGGGCGCGCATTTGGGGCGTGTGGTGGAGGGGGAGAGTGTTGCAGTGGGCGAAGAGGGGAGGGAGTTGGGGGAGGGGTGTGATTTGGGGAGGGTGGGGAAGGTGTATAAACTCGGTATGGGTAAGGGGGTGGGGGATGGGGAAAGGAGGAGGGAGATGGAGGGCGTGGTTTTGGGGATGATTGCTTTGAAGGGGACGTGATGTGTGTGTGTATGTGTATGGAGTCACGAAATGAGATCATGATTGGATGATAGGAAAAGCACAGCACGGCGTCTAGATATAAAAAACACCCACTTTCTAGACTATAGATACACCGTTGAATCTACCACACGTTGCGACCAAGGCTTATAACTCCAAGTACTCGGGCTTGAGGAAATCGGCCATGTTCTTGGGCTTGGGGTGTTTGTTCTCTGTGGCGCGGGTTAGTTTTCCTCGTCTTTTCGAATATATAAAGACGATCGTGACATACCGACGTGGTGGTGGTCGTCATGGCCGTGCGGGTCGCTGGCCGGGCCAACGTAGTGCATCTTGTACACGGATCCGCACTCCATGCAGCGGGACTTGGGCTCCTCGCGGGTGAGCTGTGGGGTGTTAGTCAGCCAACGCATAATCATGTAGGGTCACGGGAATTCTTACGGTGATCCAGAGCACACCGTGCGAGTCGACCGGGAAGCCAGTGCAACCAACGTACTGCTCATCACCGGCCGAGTTGACAGTGATGGGGTCCTCCATCGTGCCTGATAACGTCAGCAGTCACTCCACACAATCGTCCCCCCTATGCGTTCGCAGAACAATCTCCCGCGCGTAATTTTTCCGGGGCAGCGACGTACCGAGACGGCTGGCGTCCAATGGCCTCATATCGAAGATATCAACACCCTGCATCTTTCCGAGGATTTCAAGACGCTCCAGACCGGTAGCTTGCTCGGCATCGGTGGGAACGGTACCGGGCTTCGCACCAGGCGGGAGCAGATCATCGGCCGTCTTGATCTCTACACACACGCACAAACACACGAATTAGCAAGCCTATCGCATGCGCTCAAGCGCGAACCGGGAAGAAGCGCGGATGCGGGCGCAACATACGGTCAATCGTCTTGTAGCCCTCGAGAAGGCTGGGGATGTTGGAGGGGGCGGGGGTGTCCTTTTTCTCGTTCGCGTCGCCTGCAGTCGGGTCAATGGGTGGCCGTCGTACGATAGCTCGGGGAGTGACCTACGGCGCACAAACGTGGTGGTGAAGGTGCGGCGGGCGAGGGCGGCGGGGGCCACTCGGCGTGCCGCTGCGACGGCAGAGCGCTGGAGGAACATGGCGGGAGCAATTGGGGGGTGGAGTGGAGAGGGGGAGCGTGGGGATGCGAGAGCTTCTTGCTTGGAGTCGTGAATTGACGTTCCACTTGATCAGACGAGGCTCTTGGCGGGAGCTGATGATGACTAACTAAAATGGTGAGCCACGCTCAGCACTAGCCACAGCGTTTGTTTGAGTGATTCATCGATTGCTTTCGTGATTACCTCCCACGCGCTGTGGTCCAGTGGATTGACCTACCTAGACTGCTTTTGATCCCGTACTGATCATCATGGCATTAATTTTATAGGCACCTCGTGAAATGGGAGACTGCTTCACAGCTCCAGGCAGCCTTCGACCAATCCGTCCAACATAGTCCACTGATCGAGACAGTTACACGACAACAACCACCTCACAATGACCTACAAACCCGCGCTCGTCGTCGTCGACGTGCAAGAAGACTTCTGCCCTCCCGTGAGTATTCACACTCTGGAAGCGTCCAACCCTCCTAACAACCGCAGAACGGCACGCTGGCAGTAGAAGGTGGACGAGACATCGTACCCGCCATCAACGCGCTCCTCTCCCTCCCATTCGCCGTCAAGATCGCGACAAAAGACTTCCACCCACAAGACCACATCTCCTTCGCCTCGAACCACTCCGCACCCGACAACAAACCCTTCGAATCCGTCTGCACAATCGCAAACCCGCTGAACCCCGGAGAGACGCAAGAGACACGCCTCTGGCCCGACCACTGCGTCCAGGGCACAAAAGGGTCCGACCTGCTCCCCGAGCTCGACCTAAGCCGCGTGGACAGGGTGGTGGAAAAGGGCCAGGACAAGCGCGTGGAGATGTACTCTGCGTTTGCGGACCCCTTCACAAGCCCTTGCGTTGTCAAGAGCGACCTTGCCAAGTCGCTGCACGATGCGGGTGTCACGGATGTCTTTGTCGTGGGCCTTGCGGCTGACTACTGCGTTAAGCATACGGCGCTGGATGCGCAGAAGGAGGGGTTCAAGACGTGGGTGATTGGTGAGGCGACTAAGGCGGTTGATCCGGCGGCGCTGCCGGATGTCTATAAGATGTATGAAAAGGCTGGGGTCACGGTCATAGGGAAGGACGATGCGCAGGTGCAGAGGGTTAGGGAGTACTCGTGAAGACGTGAGTTTTGCGAGGGTTGGCGGGGTACGAAATGGGTACTTCGAAGACGAAATGCATGGCCAGACAGGTAGACGTTGTAAATATTATCTACATTTTATCTTCACACAAAAATGCAAGATCGTTCGCCAGCCTTGCTCCGTGCGAAGACGTGCGCGGCCTCAATTTAAATTTGCATGTGACTGCTCAGAGCCCCGCGCGATGCTGAATGCTTGAATTACCCTCCATTTCAGGATGAAGGTATTGGGCATCTACCTGCCCGTGACGTAGGCGGAGATGTTCTTCGCGCTATGTACCTTGAAGGCTGTCCAGTGCTGTCCAACGCAGATCATCGCGGGGTTTCCACTTTGCTAATTTTGTGACACCGTCGTCATCGCCTCGACCGCGTACGCGAGCTTTCCGACCAACGCCGGCAGCTGTACCTGGCAGCGCTCCAACCCACCCTCTATTACTCCTTTTTGTTTCTTGTCCACCCTATCTTACTCAAGCCGCACTCACGATGCCGCATCTACCCAAGGTTGTGCACAGGCGCAGAGGCTCGCTGGGTACCAGTGCGTCTTACTCGTTGTTCGTTCTGCATGCGTGCCTCACTTGAAGTTGTTGCCGTGCGAGTGAATGTTTGCTAACGTGTATGTTTGCGGTGTTTAGGCAGCCGAGGCTCCTCTATGGACGAGACTCACCATGATGAAGCCACCAAGGGCGACGAGACGGTCATGGATCCGGAGCAAGGCAGCAGTAAGGTCGCCAGAGATACATGAGAATGCACAGATTTTACGAGCGCGGGCTGACGAGGAATGGCAAAAGTGCTCACTCACATTATATCGCAACTGCGGCCAGGCGCCGACCTCAGCAGAGTTACGCTGCCCACCTTCATTCTCGAGCCGCGGTCCATGCTGGAGCGCATAACAAAGTGTGTCGCGCAACTTCAAGCCCCACCAAACGCCTCTGAAGACTAACAGTCCAACAGCTTCATGGCCCATCCAGAGATTCTTATCCCCCTCACCAAGATCGAAGACCCCATAGAGCGATTCGTAGCTGTGACCAAGTTTTACCTCAGCGGCTGGCACATCAAACCCCCGTATGCATCCCTAGGCTCCGTCTATGTCCACAAGCAGCAACTGATGTGAGAGCAGAGGCGTCAAGAAGCCGCTCAATCCGATCCTGGGCGAGACACACAGTTGCTACTGGGACTATTCCGATGGCACAAAGGGATACTATATCGCTGAGCAGACCTCGCACCACCCGCCCAAGTCGAGCTACTTCTTCATGGCTCCCGAACACCACATCCGAATCGACGGCACGCTCAAGCCGCGGAGCAAGTTTTTGGGCAACTCGGCTGCGAGCATGATGGAGGGTATCGCCGTCTTGCGACTGTTGAACACCGGCGAGCGCTTGTAGGTAGTGACGGTGTTAATCGGTAGGTGTGGATTGCTGACCGGCGCAGTTTCGTCACCCAACCAAACATGTATGCGCGTGGCATTCTCTTCGGCACAATGCAGTACGAACTCGGCGACCATGCATTCGTCCGGTGCCCTGAGACTGGGATGAGCGCCGATATCGAGTTCAAGACCAAGGGCTGGGTCAGCGGGACATACAATGCCATCGGCGGCCACATCAAAGATGCACAGGGCAAGAACCTCTTCGAGCTGTCTGGGCTCTGGAGCGGAGAAATGTACATCAAGGACCTGACTGTATGTTTCTGTCGTCCTAGACTGTGCATGAGGTAGAAAGCTGACATTGTGCAGACTGGTAAAAAGCAGCTACTTTTCGACGCATCCCACACCAGAGAGACACCACCAACGGCCCGCCCCCTGGAAGAGCAGGATGAACGCGAATCACAGAGACTATGGCACGATGTGACAGAAGCAGTCAAGCGAAGAGACCAGAACACGGCGACGGATGCAAAGGCGTTGATTGAGGACAGGCAACGTGACGAGGCAGCAAAGCGAAACAACGAAGGGGTCGAATGGCAACCGCGACTGTTCCGGCGCGTAGGAAGCGAGAACGGCGAAGAAGATCTAGACTGGATCATCAGTGCAAAAATGTCAGTTTTCATCGGTTTTTGGGGGAGCAGCGGTGTGCTAACTGGAACTAGTGATGGTAGAACACCAGAAGAACAGGTCAAACAAATCCTGCAGATCCATGCGATTCTGCCGGGCCAGAAGCCAGATCAAAAGTTCGAGATCCCCACACGTAACAATGGCGTTCAACAGACTCCCACCGAGCCATCTGTACCAGACGCGCATACCGCTCCGTTGCAGCGCGAACAGCAAGTTCCCGCTCCCCAACCTGTCCAGTCTCAACCTGTTCAGCCTCAACTTGTTCAGCATCAGCAAGTACCCGCTGCGTACCCTCAGCAACAACAGGGAGCGATTGTCGACCCATCATATCGCGAACAGCCAGCGCATGCTGCTTATTCTCAGCAGCAACAGCCATTGCAAACTTCTCAACAACCACAACAACCGCAGCAACAGGATTACTCTAGTTACTACATGAACTCTGCCGGTAGTGCGCAGCCAGTGAGTGACACCAACCCGGGCAACTCTAGTTTCCCCATCCCTTTACCAATCCGCCAACCTCAAACTCATCCAGCACCTACCTCAATGAACATGCCTGAGCGAGTAGCTCAAGAGAACCCACCCAGCAGGCTTCTGCATTCGAATCCGCACCCCGAACCAACTCGGGACGATCGGCTGAAGAGGCAGGACAGCGAGACGCACGAGCATGATACATTTGTGGATGCGCAATCGTAGGTGGCGATGTGGGGATTGGCCCGTTTCCGTTTCCGGGCGAGTGCGGGTTATGCATTAGAATCTGGAGTGAAGTGGATTGACCTTGGTTTTGCACGCGGGGGAAATACTTTGCGGTAATGGATATGTATTGATCTGCAGTCCAATCTTGACGTGTTTCCCCATTGCCTTTGATCGTCTTCTCCCTGCTCCAATTCGACGATGGAGCGTTGCAGCGCTTGTGTACGCGTGTGGACGGGTGTCATGCCACTTAGCGGCTTTACCCAGGGTCCGCCATTGCTATCACCGCTACCGTCACGAACTAACCCGAATAGGCAGGCGTTCTCGATGCTTGTCAAGCGCCACCCGCCAACGCCAACGACCTTCCTCTCCCAGGCGAACAACCGCAAGCTTTGTGCAAGCTTTCTGTTCCTCGTTGGCTGGTTTGGGCTAGAAATTTAAACGCGCGAGATATCGGCTGGGAGATGAGGGTTTTCTCCATACATAGTGGCAATATAAGTTAGGTTGGGTTAGGCACAAGAAAGGATGAGGTATATAAGCCTTGGTGCTACCGCACTATCTGGGAGCGGGTTCTTGGTCACTGTGTAACATTGCGTTGCGTAAGTAGCGTTTAAGTTTGCAGTCTTGATTGTGTGGGGAGACTTTCTCGTCTTCTTCGTCGTTGCTCTTGTCTATCTCTATCGACATACACCCAGATAGTACCGCAACAATGCGCTCCTCCACCCCCATCGCAGCGTTCGCGCTCGCCCTCCTCCAAGGCACCACCACTGCCCTAAACCAAGGCATCCACCGCAACCTCGCCCTAATGGCAGACATGGGCCTCAACCCCGACGGCACCCCCTTCCACACCCCCTCCTCCTCCTCCTCCTCATCCGCACACCTCTCCTCCCTCCGCATCGGCACCACATCCCCCCTCCCCCTCGCCATCAACACAACCGAGATCATAACCCCCGAATACGTCGAGCTCCCCGTCAACCACTTCTCGAAAATGGGCCCCGCGGGCTCCGCGGGTCCCAGCACGTTCCACAACCGCTTCTGGGTGTCTGAGCGCGCGTATCGGCCTGGCGGACCGGTTTTTATATATGATGTGGGTGAGGCGAATGCAGAGGGGAATGCGCTTTTCAGGCTGCAGAATGAGACGAGTTTTTTTAGGCAGATTGTGGAGCAGTTTGGCGGGATTGGCGTGGTTTGGGAACATCGGTTTTGTGAGTGTTTTTCTTTTGTATGGGGGTCTGCTGTGGTGTGGGGGTTGTTCGGGACGTTGTCTCGGGGAAAGGGGTGGGGGTGTGATGGGGCCTGTGGGAGATGGTGGAGAGAGTGAATGTGCGATTGTGGTCGAACTATGGGGTGCTTTTTTTTTTGAAAGCGTGTAGGGCTAACAGGATCTGCAGATGGAAACTCTACGCCCGTTCCTATCGATCTTGATACGCCGGCAGAGGCTTTCAAGTACCTCACCACCGAGCAATCCCTCGCGGACGTCGACACTTTCGCCAGGCAGTTCAAGCGCAAGAACATCAACGCCACGCTCACACCTGAAAGTACGCCTTTTATATTTATTGGGGGTAGCTATCCCGCAATGAGGGCTGCCTTCATGCGCGAGAAGTACCCAGACACGATCTACGCCAGCTACGCGTCCTCGGCCCCCGTCCAAGCCAGCGTAGACATGTCGTTTTACTTCGACCCCGTGGTGCGCGGCCTCGAGCACTACGGCTTCGGCAACTGCTCTGCCGACATCAAGGCCGCGATCAAGTACATGGACAAGGTCATGGATGGGTCGCGTTCCGGGGCTGCGGACCTCAAGACGCGTTTCCTCGGAAAGGGCGCGGATGCGAATTCTCATGCCACGTTCGCTGATGCACTTACCACGCCGTTCTACCTCTGGCAGTCGTATGGTGTCGAGGGTGGACAGCTGGGTCTGCGCCGCTTCTGCGACTTCATCGAGACGGATCCTGCATCCAACACGACGGCGCCGGCGGAGGGATGGGCAAAGCCCAAGGGTGCGAAGTTTACGGTTGATCGCTGGGCCAGTATGCCGTGGTTCGCGGGCATGGTGAACGCATATATGGAGACGGACTGCTCGGGCAAGGCGAACGTGACGGGTGATTGCGATCTGAACCGCCGCTTCACCGACCCGGCGAGCATCTCCTGGACGTGGCAGTACTGCACACAGTGGGGTATGTCATCTCCTTCTTCCCCCTATCATCCCAACCCCCAAACTAACATGCAAAAAGGCTTCTTCCAATCCGCCAACCTCGGCCCCAACCAAGTCGTCTCCAAGTACAACTCCCTCACCCACCAGCGCGACATCTGCCACCGCCAGTTCCCGAATGCAACACGCTCCCTCCTCCCCGAATGGCCCAACACGGCGCGCACCAACGCCGTGCTCGGCGGCTGGAACATCCGGCCGTCCAACACATACTGGAGCGGCGGCGAGTTCGACCCCTGGCGCACACTGTCACCGCTGAGCGCCGAGATCTTCGCGCCCAAGGTGCACGAGTTCACCGAGCCGCCCAAGTGCGGGCAGGGCCAGCGCAGACAGGATATCTTCGGATATGTCATGGCCGATGCGCAGCATTGCTATGATTTCAGGACGACGTTTGCGGGTGGCGCGGTGAGTCGCGGGTACTTTACCCGCGCGTTGACGGGGTGGTTGGGATGCTTTACTTCGAAGGGCAAGGGGCGGAGGTGGGATGCGTAGACGTGGTGTAGGTGTCTGAGGTGTGGGATGTTAGGCGGCGAAGTTGATGAATTGCAACGTTAATGTCATTGCGATATCGTGTACTGAGGTGTCTTGGGAGTGGTTTTCCAAGTCCAATGTGTTTCGGGGGTGTTTGCTGATTTTCCGCCGTGTGAGGGGTTTCCATGGGAGGCTTGCGCTTAGCACAGCTGGTATAGCGTCTGTTGTGAAGGATGGTCCGGGGGATAAAGTTCCCGAGTTGATACGTAATGTGACGTACGTCGAGGCTTTCGAATGGCAGATATCCAAACCTACCTGTCCAATGCGCTAAGTGGTTGCATGGACATTGGACATATATAGGTACTGTGGTATGTGGTGACTCTGAGCAAAGCTGGTCATTGGCTGTAGAGGGCGGAACCCCGTTTCTTACATGCCAGTATGTCCTACGCGGATGGCGACAAACCGCTAAAACTCCCTCTACATACCACAGTAACAGACCTGTGGTACTCACGAGCCTGGTAAGATCGTTTCGAGGGGCTTTTCCTCCTCTTCCCCAATACTCGTGTGGGTGCTCCGACTCGTACAACCACTCTCACTGCCCATAATCGTATCGTTGGACTTTCCTCCCTTCTCGAGATCGTTATCATGCGTAGTGACGGACGAATTTCCCCCCTCGCTCACGGGCCTTGTGCGTGCTTCACTCTGGTAGCGGCTCTCATTCCAACTCCGTCCCAGGCTGCGAAACGAATCCCGAAGACCACTTCTGCGAGCCACGTTCTGTGCCGTGTGCAGCGGATTAGGTACCCTGTAATCCGGGTCCTCGAAGACATACTCCTCCTGCCGACCGTGCTCATCGTAGTTGAAATTGTCGACGGTGGAAGCACCTGCGGACGTCGAGTTCAGGACATCGTCGTGGATACGGTATCTACTGCCGCGTCTGCGTGCGTGCTGTATGGTCGGGAATAGGTAGTTATTTGCATGTCGATGTGCGTGGCCGGCAGGATCTGGCTTGCCCCAGAAGCTTCTGCGGAACACTTCAGGGTTCATTAGTGATAAGATACTTGCAAGAAACACGGCCGTGTGGATGCTTACAGGGACGCAAGGCTGCGGAGTTGACAGCAATGATCGCGATGGTGAATTCTCTGATACCCCAACGTGCGATTATGAAGATCGATATATTGGGCACAACGGTGAGGGAGACGCGCGTGATACTAGGGGAGCCGTTAGTTGAGATGTTTGTTTACGTGAAGATGAGAGTTCTACGTACCATGCCGCCAGCACAAACAAGCCAGAAGCCAACAAGAAGAACACGCCGATGCGTCTGCAGTCGTTACCAAATATCCGAAAGTGCGTGTCTCGTTATACGTACTTTTGCAAAGGGATGTTCAAGGTCCACAGTAGAGGGACTGGTATGCAGAGCAACTAAGTTAAGTGGTTAGTGAAAGTCTTTGCAAAGATTCAATCGACCTACCCATATGTCAGAAAGAGCATTGATACAACTAAGCGTGATCAGTACTCGAGGCGAGGACCTACACGAGCCCGATGGATCTGCTGGCAGTGACCATCGTCTGCTGATTGGTTGACAATCAAAAGTGAGAGCCGCGGTAACAGATATGTAGCCCATGATACAGAAGTAGGTTGTAGCTTTTAGTATGAACTTTTGCCACGCACCAATGGCGAGGCGCTGATAGAGCACGATGACGATGCCTTTCAGACTGAAGACCAATGCAATACTAGTACTTGTCAGCTCTGTCACAAGATCCGTATTTCCTTCTCCAGAGTCGTCCAACATACTATATGTAGCATGATGCCAGAAACATCTTGGTTCCATACACCACCTCACTAAACTTTTGCTCGGAGAACTTTGCGACTTCAGACTCTGTAAAGTCGGTGTTGGTGCCCGAAGAGTACGTAATGTGAGTTGTGACGATTGTATATGTCCAACATCCCAAAGCTACGAATGCGAAGCCATCATCGAGGCGTAGTCCACGGATGCCAGCAATACGCACACGCACTGCGAAGCGGAGAAGAAGCCATACGGTGCCGATTGCGTACGATGTCCAGATCTCAGGCAAGAATTTACTATCGTGTGTGGGTGCCATGTTGGCAGCAAAGTTTGGGGCGGAAGCAGCCGTTGGTGCTGTATGGAGAGTTCTGGAAGACAGTCGATGAGATGCAGGTCTTTGACATGGAATCCCAACACAATTCTTATGTCACAAGGCTCTCCTGTTCGCCTCCTGTCAGGCCACCAACCATCGTCCAAAGCCTATTTTGATGCTGCTCTTTCTGTAGAACAGACATGGATAGGAGTCAGCACTGCCAATGAGGGCCAGTCCAAATGATTAACCGGGGCTTGGGTAGCACAGTCGCAACTCGATAGGTAGCCGTTGGAGAAGGGGTTATGCGAGGTACAAGAGAGTGTGACGAGCTTACGTCAGTGCGCATCACGTTGAATCTGATCGAAGATCGAATGTTTTCTGTGCATCCAGTCGAACCTACCGCTTGGCGGTGAAACTGACCAGTCCCGACCTTTCATTGATGATTTCGATTTTGCGGAGTTATGTCCGGGGTAGTTTGATGGGTTGGTTTGAGCGGCTGTCGCGCGGGCTCCGGGCCGTCGCTGACCCACGGATGAGCACGTAGATGGCGGGACCTATAGCCGACGCTCCTCGGAAGCCTTATATGTGGATAGGGACGACTCGCGCCCATGTGCAGTTCGAGCACGCCAGGAAGATGATAGGTAGAAAAAAGCCTTGATAGACGCTGCTCCAGCCCACGATTCGTACGCTTCCTCGGAAGCTCAAAGATTTGCCTTAAACCCGGGTCCCCTACGGTCCCATTCCCAGTATTCTCCCGTGAACCTGGTTTGTTTCCAGCGGTTGTAAATCGTCATCTTCCCCTCCTCTTTGTCACTCTTGCACATCCTCTCCCATACCTGCAGCTGCTCCTTGAATCCTGGGTTGGGGTCGCATACCGGTCTGCCCTCGCACAGTTGCTCCAAGGCTGTCGCAGGGTCCAGGTGGTATTTCCACATCAAATATGCGACGATGAGTGTAGCAGAGCGCGATTTACCCATCGCGCAGTGCACGAACACGCCTCCCCTATCTTCTTGGCCTTCGTCTTGGCCTTTTGCTTTTTCGTCCTCACTCTTGCGGGTCGTTTCATTCAGCGCATGGTCGATGTAATGCACTGCTTCGGGAAAGTATTGCAAAAGGTTTTCGTTGGGATGATCGTCGGCACGAATGTGAAGGTGCGTCAGATGAGCGAATTTCTCTTGCAACAAAGGATCATAATCGATGACCGATAAGACATGCGTTACACCTGCGGCTGCAATTAAGTCCGTCTGGTACAGGCCATACAAGCCGCCAATATAAAGTTTCCCGGCTCGTGGCACCTTGTCAACCCAGCCCATGGTGGTAAATGTGGTGCTGCCGCGCAGAAGATACGACATACGGGATCGGAGGTCAAACAGGTAGCCGTGAGTATGAAATGACGAGACGAGGTTGAGGTGCGACGTTGTGGAAGGCGAGCGACACGCGAGGTGGTAGGGTGTATGAGATAGAAGTGCCGAGATTCGATACCGAGAGGGAGATCAAGAGATGGACGTTGCGACGACGAATCAAGAATCACGTCCAATGCCTATCCAAACTCCTGTTCACCTTTCCAAGTGCCATTCGTTTCCCGGTGGATGGGTAGATTCGTTTCACTTGGCCTGCCCGAGCAGCTCACTCTTGATCAATCACGTGTTGCGGCGTGATTGGTAAACAGCTTACGCTAGCGTTGACCGACGTCGATGACCCAACGCGTTCCCTTGATCTCTCTGTCTTGGAAGGAACGGCATCACGATCTTTTCGCAGAGCTTGATGTTTGCAGTCGCCGAGAGGAACCTTTTCAGTCTATGATCGACGACGTTGCGTTCTACACAGCACGGTACATCTCTTTGCGATATTCGCGGCAAACACAGCGATAGCATGGCAACGAGAATGTGTTACGCTGTAAGATTTCCTTCCTGCACAGTTCATGAATGTCACATCGAAACAAGCGTCTTGCGAGCAGATGTTGGAGCACCCCGTACCCTAATCTGGGCGGATTCACTATTTGTTCCAAAAGCCAATGTTTTCAGCTCCACAAACGCGTTGTGGGCCGAAGGCAAGTAACCTTCGTCAGGGAAAGCAAGTTTTTATGTACCAGTCGTATCTCTCTTGTTGTTAGTAACAGCTTTTCTCGTTGCAAGCTATGTGCCTTTCTCATCTCTTACTACATCCTCAATCTGGCGCAATACAGTGCTTACCAGCCATGAGACTTTCACAAGCGTTTGGAACTACTTCGACAGGATGACGAGCCAGACGAGCGCGCATCTCCTCATGTGGCGAAGAAGGCAGAGCGCAAGAGACGGGCCACCGCAGACCACGACGACGAATCAGACGAGCGCGCGTCCCTTCACGCAGTAAAGAAGGTAAAATGTAAGAGACAGGCTATTGTAGACTACAACAGGCTAGACGAGCGCGCATCTCTAGACGCGGCGAAGACCAAGCGCAAGAAACGGCCACTGCAGACTACGACGACGAGCCAGACGAGCGCGTGTCTCCTCACGCGGCAAAGGCAAAGACCAAGAAGCGGGTCTCTACAGCCGTTGACAGCAACATCGATGAGCACTCTTCCTCTCGCGCGACGAAGAAAAAGGCCAGGACCAAGAGGCTCGTCACTGCAGACACCGACAGCAGCGTCGATGAGCAACCCCCCCTCCGCCCTGCGAAGGCCAAGAGGCGAGCTACCACGGACGCCGACAGCAGCGTGGATGTGCAACCCCCCCTCCGCCCTGCGAAGGCCAAGGCCAATGCCAAGGCCAAGTCGAAGAGGCGCGACACCGCGGACGCCGACAGCAGCGTGGATGGGCAACCCCCCCTCCGTCCTGCGAAGGCCAAGGCCAAGGCCAAGTCGAAGAGGTGCGACACCGCGGACACCGACTCCAACTCTGACGACAGCATCAGCACACAGGATGGCACAGGCTTCCCGCATGGCATCGACTCCATCGCCAAAAGAAAAAGAAAGGAGAAGAAGGAAGCCAAAAAAACCAAAGAAGCTAGAGGTCGCATGACACGCAGAGTACAGGGTCTTTGGGAATTGCCCAACTCCGCAGCCAAACCACCAACCCAGGCTCCCCTCCGTAAAGCAACATACGAATACCTTCTACCCCTCCTTACAAAAGAACCTAAAACAATACCACCATTAGGGGAACTACCAAACGCTTGCCATAAAGCCAGACTTGACCTCGTATACGATACTGCCTTTCGCCAAAGTATGGAAGTTTGGGCTTCTAAGAGACTACGCTTTGAGTTCTCTGATCTTCTCCCGTGGGATTAACAAGACACAATCCCCACGTCTGTCGTGGAGCAGATGGAGGGCATCGGGTGCATGTTTAGTGTCCCCTTGTTCAAGCTAATTCCCAGGCTGAGAGGTATGGCGCAAACAAAGGTCAAGTACACTGTTTGGTGTAAAGCACATACCAAGTATGAGAGGATTTACGTCAGATATGGCACCGTGCTACGCATCGGCACAATGCGGGACATCAACATCATCCGGGATGAGCTTACGACAAAGCTGGGCTCCTACATATCGCAAAACTACACAATTACAATATGTTAAAGTGCACGCAAGGCGTATACAGCTCAAAATCCAGGCACAAGATTCCTACACTAAACTCAATTGTAGTTGTCAAGCTGTTGCATGATTTCGTTGCACCCTAGTTCCTGGTATTTCGATTGATCGAGAGAGAGCATCGACAGAATCCAAAGTGGCTGCCTGCATGAGCCAAAATGTTGCCCCGAAAACATGACAATACCAGAAAAGTCTATTGATTTAGTAGCACAGGTTGTGAGTAGTTGCAAAATACCCTTTTTTTATCATACTTACTGCTCTAGATTGCTAAGATTTGGGCAACAATGCTTGCTAGGTGCAGATGCGAGGATCACCGTATAGAGTTGCCTGTGCATGCTACGTTAAATGTGAAAGGCGTTTATAAATATTACGACCAGCATGGTAAAACTACAGCATGGGGCGACGAATTGGCGAATATATCTACAAGTCCTCATCATGGCTTTTTAACAACAGCATTCAACGACAACTCGACCTACTTTCTGCCGCAATATGAACATCTCCACACATACCATTACCACAGCCGACAATAGGGCGGCATCACAAACGGCGAGGATACTTGGTGGAGCAGCTACAAACTCTGGCAAGAATCAGGAGCAGACGAGAAGATGCGAAGTCGCGCGAACTGGTCGACGACGTTAACATGATTGCGTTCGCTCAGTCGCAGCGTTGGGTGGGCTGGTCTGTGGATATGAAGCAGGCATGAAATGATAATCACGTAATGCTATTGGACCATGTTGCCTCTTCTCAGGGTCTTTCTCATTTCTTACTACATCCTCGATCATGCGCAATACAGTGCTTACCAGCCATGACACTTTCACAGGCGTCTGGAAACCGCACATTCATGTTCGAGCCCCACTCCTCAACACCTGGCCGATGAAATTCAGGATTTTTGTCAAGTTCTTTCACGCGTGTTTGTGCTGTCTCTTGCTTGAATCGGCAATCTTATTGTTAGAGTGAAAGCAAGTACCGAAATCGGTTAGCTGCAGCGCAACGCGTTAAACTCATCCCACAAACAAACATAATCGTGGAGCTTTTCATCTCCGACCGTCACAGCGTTGCCTCTCAACTCGACACAAGTCAACACACAACATGTCGTTGAAGACGGCCCCTATCACGCAGGCGCCGTTCTTCTACCCTGCAGGAAACACGCCAGCCGTGTGTCTCACGCAGTCTCTCCCGCCGGAGCAAGACGCTGCTCTCCTTCTGCTGGGCTGTGGCGACATCCGGAACATCCTGTTCACTGTGTATGGAGGGGTTGGTCTAGGTTAGTACACTCACATCATTTGATTTGACGCTGAGAACCGGGGACTGGAATACTGGTGCTAATCGTACGGTAGGTGGCAGGACACTCGATTTCACTTGCTGCGATATCGAGGCCGAAACTATTGCGCGCAATGTTCTCATATTGACATTAATTCTTGACGATGTTAAAGGTGTCCACATTCAACAGATATGGAACGTCTATTATCACGTCTTCATAGACGCTGACTCTTTGGCACTCCTACAAGGCCAAGCTGAAAAGCTTTTGGGTCACGCCGCATCTCTGGACATTTGGCATTCAAGCCCATACGGAAAGAACATCCGGTTCTGTGACAGCACGACCTTTCGCAATGTTGTCAAGCTTTGGAAATTATACGCCATCGACGTGTCCGACCAGCCACGTTACACAAAAGTGCAGAAGATTGTCAAAGGCCAATGGGAGGCAGCTAAGCGTTATAAAAGGGTAGTCGTGCCTGGATATGGGCCTGGACTCAAAGGTCATCATTCTGTGGCTCCGCTACTACTTGCTGGACTTTCTGAAGGACCCAAGCAACATCGAGTGTATTGGGCAAGTGGCACATGTCTGGAAGATAAGAAAGCTATCCAAAAGCTTACAGTTGCCAATCCCATGTTCATTTGCCGAAGCGGTCTGATACTCCATTCCGGTAACGATCCTCTGCGTGGATTTCATCTCTCCATCTTGTATTCACGGCTTGCGGCGGGCTTACCGATAACAAACCCAGACGCGACAACTACGTCGGCAAAAGCGCTACCTAAAGGGCTGAAGACTGCATTGACAGAGCTTGCTTCATGGTGTGAAGCCTTGCGAGATGCAGCTGCACAAGTCACTATTCGATACGTCAACTCGGATGCCATAGCTTTCTGTCATACTCTTCGTCACCACCGCACGAACGGTGAGTCGCAATCGGCCCATTGGTACCGAGCCAGTTGGAAATATGAAAGCCTAGTGCTTGATACAGCTGACTACAAGTTGAACGGCCATGCGCCAACAACTTTCGACGTGATCGACACCTCGAATCTGATCGACTATCTCGGTAGTCTGAACTTGTTGGTCGCAACCGCTCCGCTTCTTACGCCAAAGCCAACGTCAACTTTGCGAACAGAAATGCTTGTGCCACGAGAGTCTAACGTTACTGGTTCTGCGAAAACTTTATTAAGCGGCGATCTTCCCACAGTGGCGCTTCTACTTGGACTCAAACCAGTACAATACTGGACAAATGCAACAGCGACTTGGAATCCCAACGACCCCTTCCTGGAAGATATTCCCGACGGTAAAATCATCAGTCACGTTCTGTCTCGACAAATCATACTTTGGAAGACGGCGAACATCTCTCACATCCGATACAATCCAGTCGAACTAGCCAAATTCATGTTTAATGTCTACCTAGAGATGTTCCAAGATGAGAATGAGACTCGACTGTTGGAAACACTCGCCACGAAAGATCAAGGTCTGCTGAAGAAGCTTAGCTTTCTAGATCTATATACCCGAGCAAGTCTAGCTGTCATTCTACGATATCTTAGGGAGACAGAGGTAGTCGACTGGCATCCTTTCATCACACAGCTTACCAAATTGATTCGAACTGATCGTAATCTTGTTACGGGACTTCATCATTTCCACTCATTGTTGGTTCATTTCGACCTGTTTGGGATTTCGGCGTTGGAACAACCTCCGTCTTTCCAACATGATCTGGCACGCGGTCCTTTCCGTAACTGGAAAGAGATGCCAACAACAGTTTGTCTCACTCTTGTCGTACCTCACGCAGTGGTCGCAGCGTTTGGCAACATCAACAACGGTAACGGGACGCCACTATGTTACCTACAAACTCAGTCATCCATATCGATGGGTCAGTCCAACTATCCAGATGTACAGCTAGGATTTGGAACGGTTACGACTTCCGGAACACCATATACTGATGACTATACCATAAGCGTAAAAGATGACCCGACCGGGTATAACGGAAAGTCACCTTTGATAATATCAGCCATGGTGTCTACTCTTGCACTTACGGAACTTGGAGATCCAGCTTGTGGTGTCGGATTCTTCCTCAAGTCAACGCTACCAAATCTACAAAAATTCATCTTCACATATGGCATGTTTTTAGAACTGTATACGTCGTCCGTCGGGAGAAAGGATGTTTTTGTCACCAGACATCGACCGAACATGACCGGTCATATTTCCATGCAGTGCAAGTCGAGTTTGGCGACGGGAAATGGTGAGTCGATCATGAATGCCTCGACGGGACTAGAGAAATCTTTTATAACGTGCCCAGATGATGATATTACTGTTGCAATTCGGCCTTTCTTTGACACCGCTGCTACAAAGATAGTTTCATTGCAGATTCGTTACGACATCGAATCATCGATCGCTAGATTACCACTTCAAAACGCTGAGGCAGTCATAATTGAGCCCTCGAATCCGTTTACACTAGCCCTGAATATTGGCGACATATACTGCAAAAAGTTGGAACTGCCACTGCCGCTTGACAACGATTGCGGCAAGACGAGGATTTCAGTCAACGCATTATGGGTCGACTACACCGCGCCAGTAGCAGAACCCGAACGTCTTGCCTTACGTGCGGACTCGATGTTCCCTGTCAAGACAGATCATGGGTAGGATCTTACACTGTGCTTCTGAATGAAACGCTAACCCAGATCAGGCTCCAACTTTCGCTCGAGCACCTTCATTACGTTCACCCTGATGTCCTTCCGAAAGTGTACATTGGAAGGAGCAATTCGGATGCCCATTGGGTAGCGATGCTGACCTCACTGCCAGCCATAATGTCAGAGACGGAGCGGGCGGAGTTCGAGAGAGCTACTACCAGCGACATTACCGTCAATACAGGACGTGTAGGCCTGAAGAAGTCGATATCTGCAATGCACAGGGAGGTGTTCGGCATTCAAAGCATGGCAAAGGCAGTCATCTTCGGCCTGCGAGACAGCTCACGAGATTTCGCCACTCTCTACGTCGACGCAGTTCGCCTGGATGTATCAAATCAAACAATCTTCATGGACGCGGCTTTGGTTCAACACGGCGACCATCTTGGGCCTGAGTTCAGTAGGGCGAATGCGGACACGGGAGATATAACAGACGTCACTCTCCAAACTGACATTAACGAGGCTGCTTTCTGGAAACATCTGTTGCCTGCATTTGCCGAGCGGTGTCGTACATGGAAGCACAAACCAACGTGTGAGTACAGGGGAGGAAAGATGCCGCTTTCGACAGAGTCCAACAAACGTTACATGTGTAGCTGTGGCGACGGTGTGTTCCCTGATGGGTACCTGAAGAACATCAAGCAGTTCAAGGCTATGTCGAATCACGCTGTGCGAGTTGCCATCCCGGTTATCTACACCTCGCCCATCAGCAATCACGAGCCCGTCCCCGCATCTTTGTTGTTTCGAACCTTTGGCAGGTTACACATGCAGCAGCTTGGCTCGAGGATCTTGAGGTCTTGCTGTAATCTTGCTTCGTTTGTGGCGAGGAGAAGATGAAAGATAGTGTCGCGCTTATGATGTGCAGTGGGTGCAAGTTCGCGCAGTATTATTCTGCGTCTTGCCAGACCAAGGACTGGAAGGAGGGACACAAGCAGATCTGCAAGCAGCTGAAGCAGATTCAATAGTTGCACGGGGCTTGAAACAGTTGACTTGTATATTCCCATTCTCGAAAGGGTTTGGATGGCTGGATGTGGTTGGAATGCTACGCGTAGAGGTTGATAAACCTCGTAGCGCAGCATTCAAATTACCATGCAGAGGTTAGCTAGGATTATGCATAGATGAACACGGATTGGCGAAATAACTACCTGAAAACGATTCGCAATGAAAATTAGCAGCCGGAGCTTGGTTGTATAGACTACTATCAGGTGATCCTTAAGGGGGATCTACTATCTGTCTTGCATCTCATGATCCTCAAGCCAAGGTTGACGACATAAAGTTTCAATTTGCGGCTGGGTCGTGCCCACCTTCCTAAAACCTTCATGGTGTGCCGCCGCATTGCAATTGATGGCTAACGGTTGTGCATCCACTGTGCATGGATGCGGGTAAAACATGGAGGTGGAGAAGGTTTAGCGCAAGCCAAAAATAGTCGATGATCGGTTGAAGAACCGCTCGGCGCAACGCTAGCAGCACAATTGACGCAGGGTGGCGATAGTGCATGCAAAATCGATCGCGCACCCTGGAAAGCCCTGCCTGCAGCGTGGCTAAGGGGATTCTAGAGGAGGGGTGCTGATGATCCCGTGTTGGTGAATGTAAATGCGCTGTCTTGGCTCGGTTTGTTTCGGATAGCGTCCTGCCCAACCTGGCCTAGCCTTTTCTACGGATGGCAGGGCCTCACCCTCGTACCTCCTTCTTTCTGCTGATTGACTATCGCCTCACGCTCCACCGTATACGCTCGCTGTTCGGTTTCTGTGCTCAGTTTCCTTATTTTATTCCCCACCTTCGCTATTAGTCGCGGAGCTTGTCTAATTACAATCCTGACACTCGTTATTGCATCCGTCTGCTCTTGCCCGAAACGACTACCCGAACACATCGAACACACATTCACTGCGCTAAACTCTCAACTTTCGTACACGCCACGCCACTACGGCAGTAATTTTGGAAAGCGCCCATTCGATACTACGACTTCCTTTGCGCCTGCATCGATAGACGGCCGTTGAAGTGGTCGCAAACGTCTGACAGCCGCACGCTTTGCGCATCGTTACACGACATCACTGTTCACGAACACGAAAACCGTTGCCGGCCATGGTTCGAGCCGCCATCTCGGCTGCCTTTGCTGCAGCAGTTTTTGCTGGCACTGCATACTCAGCGCAGTGCTCTGCAGATAGCCACTGTCCTGAGGATACACCTTGCTGCTCTCGTGGGTGTCACCTGGTCTGATAGTTCGAAACGCAATGCTGACAGTGTCACAGTCTATGGCGAATGCGGTGTCGGCGCCTACTGCCTCGGTGGCTGCGATCCCCTCATGTCGCACTCGTTTGACTCATGTGTGCCCGCCCCCGTGTGCAAGTCCGGAACATACACTCTCGACTCGCTCGACGACGTCCAGGCAATCGACACATACCTCGGCGATGCCTCGAAGATCAACTGGCAATCGCAGGGCATGCCCGCCATTTACACGGATCCCAGCAGCGGCAAGAAATCGACGCTTCTAACAATGGCGCAAGGCACAGTTGGGACGTTGATGGCTTCTACATACTACGTTTGGTACGGCAAGATTTGCTCCAAGCTCACGACAGCCCAGGGCAAAGGTGTCGTTACCGCTTTCATCCTCATGTCTGACGTTAAGGACGAGATTGATTTTGAATGGGTTGGTGCCGATGTTTCAAAAGCGCAGACCAACTTCTATTCTCAGGGTGTCACAGTTTGTACGCAGCGCATACTCCTTGACTCGAACTTGGTTAACCACGCACGCAGACACAAATGGCGGCGAGCTTGCTATAGGAGGCAGCGCAGTCGAGTCCATGCACGAGTACTGCGTTGACTGGAAGGAAGACTCCCTGTCGTGGTCGATTGACGGCGAAACCACACGAACCCTCAACCGCAAAGACACATGGAATTCGACATCCAACCGCTTCGACTATCCGCAAACACCATCGCGTATCATGCTCTCCCTCTGGCCTGCTGGCCTGCCTACTAACGCGAAAGGCACCGTCGAGTGGGCCGGTGGCGAAATCGACTGGAATAGCCAGTATATGCAGAATGGGTACTACTACGCCCGCTTCCAGGAAGTCACCGTCGAGTGCTACGACCCCCCACCAATGGCTCAAGTCAACGGCAAAAAATCGTACAAGTACACCGACAAGGCGGGCACGAACAACACAGTAGAGATCTCGAACGACTTGGTTGTTCTCGGGTCTTTGATGGGCACCGGCGAGAATCCCGGAGAAGCAATGAAGTCTGGCTCCGCCCAGGCGACGCAGAGTGTTGCCATGGTCCCCGGCGGCGTCCAGGGAGGTGGTGCAAGAGCGGAGGAGACGGCCACGGCAGCTGGAAGCGGCGCGCAGACGACGGGCACATCCGGTAACGGCGTAGTGGGAGACACGACGTTCGTCCAGGGTGGTTCGAGCGCAGGATCAACCATCGAGCCTCGATTCGGCGGGATCGGCGGGTCTGCGCTTGCCATTGTCATTGCTGTGTTTGGCCTGATCGTGTCTTGAGGCGTGGACAGGCTGGTTGCGTAGAGCATTTTATGTTTCATGTCTATCTTTTACATTGTGTTTTGGTCCGCGTCGATTTGCACCGGTCTTTTTGTATATATCGTGTTTGGTGGACGAGCGTGGAAGACTTGCTTCTGTTGTGTCCCGACCGTTTTCATGTCATACCCAACGTCGTAGAATGAGCCTGGTGAAGTAATTCTGAATGCATTGCTGAGTTTATGGGATTGAAAAGACTGTCTATGGGGTTGGAATGGTGTGGATTACTTCTTGGTGATGTAGTTTACAATTGAGCAATCGGATGTACGATATGTACTCAACTTTGATTACTGATATTGCAGATAGCTCATGGTATTCACTATGCCACTCCCTATGATACTCCGACGAGTTCAATTTTGGTTACTGTCTCCACAATATTGATCACAACATTATTGAAGTCATATCGCCATACTTGGTTGCGATAGGACCTGTTCGAAACACATGAGGGAAGAATATGGTGAAAGTTGCTGGTATTCATCTACAGGTATCTAAGTTTCAAGGTGGGTAATCTACAACACGACCTTGTTGGGCGCCTCGCGCTCCTCGGGCTCGTCAAAGATGTTAATGCTCCAGCGGGGTTTGTCTGCACTTGTGGTCAGCTCACAATCTTTCTTACACGAAAACGACGACACTTACTCGCTGTGTATGGCACATTGTACCTCCTCCTGCCCTGGTGCTCGTCCGAGAACTTCTGGATAGCCGCGACCTCCTCCTCGCTGAGCTCAATCTCCTGGAAGTTCTCCTTGATGCGCGACGGGGTGACGGACTTGGGGATGACGGAGTGGCCGCCGACCTGGCTCCACGCAAGAATCACCTGCGCGGGAGTAACGCCCTTCTTCTCGGCAATCGCCTTGACCTCCGGCCGCGTGATCAGCAGCGGGATGTCGAAGAAGTTGTTGCCGAACGCAGAGTAGGCGGTGATGTGGATGTTCTTCTCCTTGGCGTAGGCAATGAGCTCCTTGCTGGGCAGGATGGGGTGGCGCTCGATCTGGTTGACGGCGGGCACGAGGTTGGTCTGCTCAACCAGCGCCTTCAAGTTCTGGTACGTAAAGTTGGACACACCAGTGGAACGAGCCTTGCTCTTGGGCAGCTTGTGCACGGCCTTCCATGTCTCGCTGTTGGGGATCGAGTTGTCGATGTTGACTTCATTTGGATCCGAGCTGGCGGGGAACAGGTCAGAGTGCGGGTCCTTGCCTGGGCCGAAGTTGACGGGCCAGTGGATGAGGTACAGGTCGAGGTACTCCAACTCGAGCTCGGCCAGGGTGTCGTCAAGCGCGGCTTCAACGTGCGCGGGGTCGTGCTGCGTGTTCCACAGCTTCGACGTGATGAAGATGTCCTCACGCTTCAGCCCAGGGACGTCGGCAAAGGCGCGCTTGATGCCTTCGGCGACCTCTTTTTGGTTCTCGTAGCTGTGATTGGCGGAATTACTCGTTAGCGTAGCTCGTTGGGGAAGGAGGCCATAGCTTCTTTTTATAGTGGGGCATCCCCAGTTCAACCTCCCCTACAATGTGAGGAGGGCTCTTGCGGCTGAGGCGGCGGAAAAATATCGCTCGTGGGTGCGGTGTTGCGTTCGCGTGGGGTCTGTGTACGTACATCTTTGCGAGGTCCTGTGGGAGGAGACGAGGTCAGCCAGCGATCACGAATACACCAGGCTCCACCAAGGGCTGAGCGCGTGCTCGAATGTGGATGTAACCTACAAGGTGTCGGTATCCGATCTTCAGAGCCTCGTAGACACCATTGCCAACCTCACCAGGGCCGGCCTGCCAGGTACCATATCCCAACTGACTGTAGCAAACGAACACGTTAGCAGGAGCTTCTCCAGACGCGCAAAGTGTCTAGCAGACATGATGTAGAAACGTACGGGATCTTGTGGCCAGTGTTCAACGTAACGGTCTTGCCTGAAGACATTCTGAAAGACGTATAAGATTTCAAGGTCGTAAAAGAGGTATAACGAGGTGTACAGTTTCTCAGGCACGAAGGCGGAACAGCTCTTAAGTATCTCATCGTGACAGCCCTCGGCCATTATGTCGGCACAGAAGCCATTATGTACTCGATGCAACAATTGTTCCATAAACCGGGATAATCGCCTCAGCCAGCATGGTTTCAGCTCCATTGTTAGCTGGGATGTGTGGTCTCAACGGCAGATGGCGGGATTATTGTGTGCTATCGCGACTACGAGATACCCCACTGGCGTCACTGCAGAGCTATGGTGGGGCTGGGAGCTCGGTGGGAAAGCTGCCGAGTATGCCACAAATGCCCCGCTTCAGCTTATGCTTGACTTTATATGCGCGCCGAGTAGCTGTTGGTCTACTGTCAGCTATTCAGTCAACACCAGACTGATCTCGTACCTTTAGGTACCTCACGCCCTTCTTAATTGACTGTCGTAGACCTTGCTGGGAACGCGCGTGCGGCGCGGAACTCTAAAGCTATAATAAGATGAAAACCTACCTTGGCCCGGTCACCTCACAACAACGCGGGGTCTTCTGACTGTGATGAGTTTGCACTCAACGATTGACAATTCAAGCAACTTTCTCTGGTTCTCTTGACAGCCTCAAACCGAAGTCGTCCTTGTTCTCGCCAACTTCATTCTACATCAGCATCGAAATGAGTGCCCAAACAAGTTTTGTTCCTATCACCATCCGTGGGCGCTACCTATGGAGAGGCGATAGTCGTGTGAGTTTCGAATCGATTGTGCAGCGACATACTCGAGACTCTAATCGAAGAGAAGTTTTTCGTTCGAGGAGTTGTATATCAGGCCAGCGAGCGGTTCAACCACATACTAGACCCCATCACCGACGATCGTCTTCCGCAGCTAAAGCAAGATGTACTTCTGTTCAAGGATCTCGGATTGAACACTATCTTTGTCTGTCCGTGTGATGCCGCCAATACCTTGGTAAAAATTCCAACTAACAGCAACAGACAGTATCGATAACACGAAGCCACATGTACAGACCATGATGTTGCTTGAAGAAGCGGGTATCTATGTCCTTACAGTGAGTCTAGCGTTATACATATAGCAATGAGCACATTGGACTGATTGGCTCAATCAAGTCGGTCGCTATTCCCATGACGAGTATCCGGCGGAAGGATCCATATAAGTCGTACAACTCCACCACTATCAAATCGTTCTTCAAAACCGTGGATCTTATGGCTAGCTTCCCAAACACGCTAGGCCTTCTCGCCGCGAGCTTAACTGTCAACAACGATGCCTTCCTATCAGCGCCTCCGGTCCTCAAAACCGTTGTGCGAGATCTCAAGAGGTATATGAAGTTGAAGAACGAGATCGCTGGGCAAAGAACTCTTCCTATCGCTTATAATGCAACGAGTACCAAAGCTCGGGATGTGACGATTCTGGACTATCTGTCGTGTGGTGATAAATCGACTTCGATAGATTTCTGGACAGCAAGTAACCCTTTCGAACGCCATCATTAGGAAACGGCTAATTTATATACAGTGCCAAAACTTCTTATGGTCTGGGCAATCGAGCATGGCTATATCTGGCTACGATCAAATGGTGCGTTCCACCATCACATTCACGAGTTCACAGATCCCGCACCCTGACTAAGGCGAATCAGATCAAAAGACTGGAACATGCTACCATACCCATTTTCTTCACGGAATATGGTGCTAATGTGCATCAGCCTCGCCTATTCCAGGAAACAAAGGCCATATACTCACCACAGATGAGCCATGTCATCTCCGGCGGATGCGTTTATGAGTTCTGGCAAGGCACGAACATGTATGGCCTGGTGGAAATGATCGAACATGGGAGAGATCCCAAATGGTCGAGTTACCAAGCTTCCCTGGCCCGGGCAGACGATCCTAGCAAGACGATTGAGAAGCGTGAGACGGAGCATGGGCTTTTTCTTATCTTTCACGACTTTGAAAATTACAAGGCAAGCTTGGCGGCGACGAGAGATGCAGAGTCGGACTGGGATCGTGGTCTCGTCGAGCCTGAAATTGTGCAGGAAGCGAGTGTTGATACAACGCAGATCAGCTGGCCATGGGAGCCTGAGTTCCGTGAGCCAGAAAGTTGCATAGATTGGGAGCAGACAGAGAAGTCCCTACGAGAATAGTATACTTTTATAAGCTACTACTGAATACGAAGGCCTATAGCTTCGGGTATTTGAATAGCTGGTACAAAACGAAATCAGCCAACGTGAGCAGGAGACACATATCTTACATGTGCAACCATTCCGGATGCTCGCTGCAAAGGAAAGGCAAAGTATCATTCAGGCTGCGTTGGTAAATACAAGATGTATAACAATATTGAGATGGGTCTTCAAGGGATGAAGTTTTGTTTCTACTAATGTAATAGCTGTTGACGCCCTTCTAGGTATAATGAACTGCCATTTGTAACAACCCGCAGGACCTGGTAAGACTTTTCTAAGATGTCATGGATATTTCATTGCGTTCCAACAAGACCGAAACTTAGGACGAGCATATGTGAGTAAGTTTGTATCTGAAACTATCTAAGCTAAGATAAGTATTTGCTGCTCTGTGAATACAATAATGTCTGGCTTAAGTAACATTCGAGATTGATAAGGCAATGTGGTCAGCCTTGTGATTCAACTTCATTCATAGACAGATCAGTAGAAACTAGGTACTGATTTATCACAGCTGCAGTAGAATGAACAGCACAAGAGACATTTTCTTTGAAATACATGCGAAGTGCATCCCATCGTCATATACCTTCCTTCGCCAAGGGTCGTGAAGCAGAGACAGGCAAAGGTGTTGCACAGATGAGTTTTGCTTTATGCAAATTACACACCAATTCATTTATTACGATGGATGTTTTATCTTATGACTCAATAACGCTGTGCACGTTCTCCGTAGACAAACATGCCTCGATTGCTCTGCTTGCAGTTACAAACCCTTCTCGAAAATCAGCCATACGTTTTCTGTCCTTCTCAAGGTCTCTCCTGCAGACGCTTAATCCCGTTCTTTCCCTAAGTGCGATATCTTTCAAAATCTGTCTACCTTCTGAACTTAACAATGTGTTATGTCCTTCTAGGTTTGCAAGTGCCTCGTGCACCTCCATGAACGCCCAGGTCAAGCCTATCAAGACATCGCGATACGTTAACCACCGCATTCCCATCCACATCATCCACTCGGCGAACACGACTGATTCTCCAGTTCCCAATGTCACAGCATCTTTCAGGTTTTTCGGCTCGTTCAAACCTGCGCGACGGCATATATCTAGACCAAGTTCGACAATGCCGATTGCTTGGCCGTTGTCGGTCCGGCGAACCTCGTCCATACCGGCTACTCCCAAACCTTCACTGTCGAAACCATTTTGCGCGCGTAGGACGCGGACAATTGCCGAACCAAAAGTGTCTGCAGCGCGGACGGGTACGGATGGGACGGACTCGAGAAGCGTGGAGGACGTAAACCAAAGAGGAAGGAATTGTGTGAGGCTGAGTTTTTTTATGTCGATGTCGAGAGAAAGCGCATCGTTGGAATTCGAATCCTTGAGATCAGAGGGTAGCCTTGTGGAGACTGGCATTGGAGGAATGTTCGCAAGTACCGGGTAGTGAAGGAAAATATCCTGTTCCTTCAGTTCGATTTCTGGACAGGTGAATGGCCGTTCGGTGAAATTAAGGTACACTTTGGGATCCTGGCTAGGTATTTGTGTTGGGTTATCGAGATCATCGATCCATTTCTTGACAACCTCGACCTCTGTCTGAGTAAAACTGCCGAACATCTTACCCTCCCAGGACAACTCTTTCACCAGCCGGCTCTTGTCGCTGTTTCCTTTAATAACCCACGGCTTGCAATTGCTCAAGTCACGTAAAAAGTCCTTTTGCCATTGCGTGTCCATAAAAGCGTTCGGCTCCAGCCAATCAACCAAAGATCGGCGACCAATCTTCAGGCGGCTGTTGCAATGGATTTTGTGCGCGACGAAGCTTTTGGCGGCGAAAATGCTGAGCAGTGCTGCTTCAGTTTTGGTGTAAGAAACTAACTCTTCGGCAGTTCTCTTCAACGATGGGCTTTCAGGTGTCGTCGGTAAGCCTTCAGCGAGGATATACCCAGCCTGCACTCGCTTCCACGCAGCGTGTGCGGCCCGTTCTCCTTCGCTCTTCGCAATCAACTCAATATAGTCTACCACTGCGGCCATAGCCATTGCAGCGTGACCTGAGTCCGCGTTATCAATCGAGATGTGAAGTTCGAAGTAGTAGGGATCGAGTCGAAGTTCACGAAGTTCTTTGACCGTCTTCAGCAAATGGAGTGGTAAGCTCTCATACGCCATATTGAACCCTAGTGCTTCTGGGAGGAACTCATGTGAAAACAGGGAGATGAGTAGCTGAGCCACGGCAGCTTTCCAGCAACGTGTTTCGTTCATTCCATGGCGAGGGTGAATAAAGTCTTTCGAATCAGCAGCGGGGAGTCCAGCACCGATGTCGTCCATCAGCTTCCGATATACATAGATATGGTTTTTAGCAAGATCGCCGTCTCCTAGCTCCTCGGACATGACTTGCCATGCATTTTTCGTGATTTTGCGATACATGAAGGGAGTACTGATTTTGTTGATATGCCCTAGCCATGCGCCATCAACATATTTGACCATGGCAGCTTGCTTGAGCCACCACTTTGCTTCGTCTTTGTCGGCGAACATCTCGCGAGATCCTCCAGCTTTGCGGCGAATGAGGTATTCTTCCCACCGGTTGGTAACATTGACATCTTTTACTTTGAGAAAGCTATTCAAGCTGTCCCGCGAGAATTCTTGAACAGCGAGAATGCCGTTGTCTGGCTCTTTGAATGCATCGCTGAGCGTTGTGGTCAGAAGAGACAGGAGAAGTTGGCGGCACTCCGGCAAGATTTTAGCGTGGTGCTCTAAGTTATGTAGCTTGAAATAAATCTGCTTATATCGTTCCATCTGTCCGTCCATGTGTACGTTGATTTCACCCACTGCATGGAGTTGCGTGACATTGTTGTTGGTAGGTGATTTTACACTTCTCTTCACAAATTCTGTCTGCCTAACTAGCCGCCCGAGATCTCTTAACCTCGATGTTCCTTTTGCTATGAGATTTCGAGACTCGCGATAGGCAATAATGGCTAGAAATGAAATGAGAATGGCTGCGGTGGTATGTAAAATAAACATGTTGACAATGTATTGAGCACAGCCACTGGGGATGGCAGCATTGTTATTGTGGTCAGGCCGCGGAGGTTTAACCGAGGTGAGGCAAGACGCGACACATAGAAACTCAAAACGCGCTCATGCTGACGATGGGAATTTGACATGTTTGCGGTCCCGCTTAACATGGCAATTCAACTATCTTCTATTCGCAGTAGTTAACCTGAAGGCGTAACCATCTGAATTTGTCGTGACGATATAGACACAATTCGATGAAGACTGTTTATCGCTGTCAATGACATATAGGCTGTTGTGAACAGAATAAGATGTATATTGATGCAACACACCAAGTGGCGAGCAGCACGTAGGCATGTCGTAGTCGTTGGGACGTCACCACGTACGTGGTTCTGACGTTTATAAGGCCGAGTCATACCATCACCGCTACAATTAACGTCACTTTGACGCCTATAAGTTGTTTTTGCTACGAACTCTCTGAGCGTGAAATTAACGAGTTCAGGTTGTCCTATACAAAGGAAAAGATAGTGAGAATGACTGACACCACAACAGCATACCAGGCACTTACAAAACACTTGGCCAAAGCAGGATACCATTTTGTCTGTCCCTCTCCAGAGACCCAAGCCAGAGTGGTGCAGAAGAGAAGTTTGGCTGCATACAAATACGCTAATAATGGGGAGGAATTCTTCGGCTGGAATTTGCCATGTGCTAGGTATGTGTTCGTCCATGTCACCCCCGCCGAGGCTGACAATTCCAAAAGGCAGACGCTGGGATTGATGATACCCGATGTCATTTTCGAAAGCTTACTCAAAGCCTCCATCATCGAAACTAGCGACAACGTTCATTACCGGTCTAAAGTTCGAATCTCCAACTTCTATCTACCCGCCGTTCCGAGTCTAGACCTCGACCTTGGGGCTGCACCACTCTACTATGTCCACTCTGCTTTTCCGGCATCATCAGATTCGGTGTTCTTCGGGCCCGATACGTATCTTTTCATCGCCTTCCTACGTGGCATGACGCGTCACCTACTAGACCCACCCAAGTCTATAATAGATGTGTGTTGCGGTTCAGGAGCGGGTGCAATACACATGGCAAGAACATATCCGCACGCACAGACGTACGGTATGGATTTGAATCCACGTGCGCTGAGGCTGGGCAGTGTGAACGCAAGTTTGGCGGGTGTCAGTGTCGACTTTCAAGAGTCAAACCTCTACGCTGCTGTATCACATAGGCTCAAGTCCTCCGGTGTTGACCTCATTGTTAGCAACCCGCCCTACATTGCCTCAAGTTCGGATGGTGAAGACCTACCTATATACGCAGATGGTGGTGCCGCATGTGGACTTGACATATCCAGGAGAATAGTGGAAGAAGGAATGGAGATCTTGTCTCCAAGCGGCATCCTTGTACTCTACACTGGAGTCGCGATAGCGGCTTCATGCCCTGGTTATGACACATTCTTGGCAACACTCAAAAGCATGGACAACGTAGACATAGTAGAGTACACGGTATTGCATCCAGACATGTGGTCGGAAGAGATTGGCCAAGGTGCGTATGCGGATATTGGCAGAATACAAGTTGTGGGAGCTGTGTTGAGAGCGAAGCGTTGAAGCAGGAGAATACCACAACTTGGGCGTTTCGGAATCGTGGAAGGCCCTCCAAGGGTTATTAAAACGCCTTAAAGATAGTTTGCATGAACTTTTCTTCGATTGATCAGAAAGCTATCTCGCCAAAGATATAATCATAGATTTCTCAAGATTTATTTGCATGAGTGGCTCCGCCAAAAGGCTGAAACGTCAGCCAGAAATCCCATCTTGTAGTCCTTAGGTCTGTGACCTGTAACTTCGGATTGTAAGGTCGGCTTTGAGAACCTGAGTCCCAGGAAACGGAGAATTGTGTAAATAGAATGCAGATAGAGAAACCCTTACGACGGTAGCATGTAAAAGCTCAAGACAACAAGAAGTAAATTGTATAGTGCAACAATCTGGACAGTAGGAGTTTTGTAAGCACTACATGTCTGATCGCATAGTGTGCACGGATCGATAAATTTGGCCTGTTCTCGCTGGTTCGAATCCTGCTACATACAACGAAACTTGATTAGCAAAAACCGACGGCTTGAAAGTGGCTAGATCTGAGAGCACAAAAAGCTCTAGCTATGCGATGCAGTCTTGATTTTTGTATAGGCAGTCTTCATTAGTAGAGAAGAGTTATCCAGCTGACATATCCGGATTCCGCGACTTCCGATACTTCACTCGAAACTAAGTTGAATGGTGTAAATAAAGATCTGATCACAGATCTAACCATAAACAGCTGAAGCTGAATCTTTAGCGCTTACTCCTATTAATAAAGCGATAAGACTATGTAAAGATAAGTATCTTCTCTCAGGTTCTGGAATAACTTTCGTACTTAATCACTCAGGCGTTGTCTTTATTTTTATTAAACTATTGTACTCTCGCAATATCCTTTTTTCCCGTCATGACCGTCACACAGATCATACAACTGGACTCGTTCAACCCGAACATCTCGAGCAAAGAGCTTCACGGTACGATTCAGAAAGCCATGAAAACTGTTGAAGAAAGAGGAGGAGGTGCTCGTCACGTGGTCTTCTGCACTCATGTCCAAGACAAGAGTGCTGTTCAAATCATGTCAGAGTGGAACAACGATCAGAACAACGTAGCCTTGGAGCATCCGTCAAAGTCCAGTACCTTTGTAGCAAGCATGCACCATTCCTTTGGCTCGCCAGCGAGTACCTTTCACGTCTCGTTCTCTCAATCGATGTTCGGACTCGGCGGGCCTGCTTCAGCGAATGTGATTGAAAACGTACAAATATACTTCCCTACTTCTCAGGTCACGCCCGAGTTCCAGAAGCAAATCGAGCAAGATTTCGCCAAGTTTAATGAGATTGTGATGAGAGGCTCGCAGGGAGATGTGGGATTGGCGACCGGGTGGGTTCAGGAAGAGCAAGAGCACAAAGATATCACGGAAGAGAAGGCTAAGTGCTTTTTTGTTATCCGGGGATGGGAAAGCATGGCCTATATCGAGGAATTGACGAAGCAGGAGGTCTACAAAGAGGCCATACCGCTACTGCTCGCATGGAATGCGCCGTTCAAGTTGGTACGTATCTGCGCTTTGTTTTATGCAGTGTGAGACGATGTAAAGGGTAACAAATAATAGTGGCATATCGATCGCAAATTTCTACACTGCACCGATCTCGATGCGTAAATCCAATATTGACATCACTGGATTACTAATAACGTTCAATACCGCATGCACACTTCTGACGGTATGAACAGCACGTCTGAAGTGGGCAGAATAGAAGCTGCCGTTTGCTCCTGTTGTTGGATGAACAGACCAGAAGAGGAACATGGCATTTTGATTTTCTCGGTCGAACACATTCATAGGTCTCAAATCAACGGTGTAAGTATAACGATCAATCACATATACTACGGTAAACCTATCCTGAATTATAAATCATGCCAGAAAGGTTGGTTCTTAGCGTTGCTACTACGAGACATGAATGGTGTCTGTTCCTAGGGCAGCCACAAGACTGTGTAAGCATAGTTCAATTTCGACGAGGCAAAGCAAGGAATGCAGACAAGAGCGTGCAGCTTTTAGCAACGCAAGAGAATAAACGTAAAAGCGCATCCTGTGACAAAATTAAGCTGAGCAGCCTGTACCGAGCGATTGATTGACAGGACAAACTGCATAATGACCATCCATCTCCGAACCACCAGATCGGAGCTTCATGGTCGGTTCCTACCGCAAGCACTCAGTTCCGAATTTATCACTAACAAGTGATTGGTCGATTGCCACATATATGTCCCACAATTCTAACCTGTATGGTTGTGTGATTCTGATTGAAAACACCAACATATAATATGTCGAAGTGCCTTATGCTACCAACTTTCTGACGTAGCAAATTTGCACAGAAACTGCATCTAGGGGTCCAGGGTGTTAACGTCAAAACTTCCTGGGCGTTGAGGGATTGCACGGCTCGTGCATAGTGCACCATGTCTCTAGCGCAATATACTGCTGACCAAGCCCGCAAAAGAAGCGAATAGAGGGCGATTTGCTCCTTCTCGCAAGCAAAGAAGAAATCCGACGACAGTAAGATTGGTCCACAAAATGTGTGCGATGGGAGCCCGGGAAGCCATGCAGCGAGCAAACGACATTCATTCCAGCCACCAATGCAGCAATTGCGGCAAGGTGTACATGCGGCGGGACTTGCGAGATCGTCATAAGCGCCGCTGTATACACACTTTCACCAAATCCAAACGGTCGAAGAGACGGTCATGCATCGCATGTGTTCTATCGAAGCTGGGCTGCGAGCAAGAACAGCCATCATGCCGCCGTTGCTCGAATCGCAACATCTTCTGTGATTACGTGGGAGATACAACGAACAATGTCATCCGTGGAAACGGTGACATAAGCCCACAAGCAGCCACTTTTGAACTGCTCGGGGGTCAAGTTGCAAACGGCGATGACGCCAACTCGCCAGCCTACGGCACCACCGAAAGCGAGGTCGTAACACAGTTCTAAGCAGATTTCGGCGACGGTGCAGCTTTGCCCGATATGGGAGGGACCATGTCAGACAACATCGCCTCAGGTGTTGTGTTAGGTGAAGAAGGTCGGACCAATGATGTTGGCAGTGGTATTCGTTGCGTGCAAGTTTCCATTAAACCCTCGACCAACGAAGATGACTGGTTAGGAAGCCAGCTGAATAAAGAAAGACTCCACTTCGAACCTCTGTGGAATAACATAGCCCCGCCGTACAAGATGGGCACTGGCGCACACAACAGTGCACATCATTTCCGCGCGTCGCCAGTCATGTCCAACGTCCGCATTGCCGAGCCTACATATTTTCCCAACGGTGGCTCGCTAGCGCTGGACAGTGGGAAGCAGCAAAATGGGCATGCTGAGAAGTCCATATATAGGAGTGCTGTATCGGCCAGCGACATGGGTTGATGTCATCATGGGCTTTTTGCCCATGATGATATCCCGATCCTCTCCTGCCCCGCCGTTCATTCACGACCGGATTTACCAATGTAGTGAAGGAGACGTTAAAGAGCCCATCGCCAGGGCCATGGTCTGCATCAATGCGCACATCGGTGCCATGCCTAGTGGTCGTAATTTCGTAAATGAGATGGTTCACCATGAACGCGACGGGATCCTTGAGTCATTTGTAAGAAGCTTCGCACTCAAACTAGCAGCATAGCTGGGATGTGATCATCAAACGGATGCAAGCTAACACTTCATCGAATAACAGCACGAGTGCAATTCAGAGATTGACATGATAGCAGCTCTTCATGCCTTAACTGTCTACCAGATTCTTGCACTCTTTGGCGATTCGAAGGGACAAATTCGAAGTGGGGAGCTGCATTTACCATATTTGCTCAAGGTGAGCGCCCATCCTTATACGAAAGGCAGGCGCGACAAACTTTGAGTCTAATGACAACCAATCTAGATGGTTCGCAAAGTTGCGCAAAGATATCAACAAGACCTCGTAAACCCCTCAGCCGACTCTGCATCCTATAATTGGAAGCGTTGGATCTTTGTCGAAACGCTTCGCCGCACTGTGTTCCTCGTTCACGCCATGAATGTTCTGTCCGCCCGTTTGAAAAGACAAAACCCATTCTTCCATGAGGCACTAGATGATGACCTCATTCTTGACATGCCCTTGCCAGCTCCCGCTTCCAGGTGAGAAGCAGATTGAGAAGGACAGTGGTTGTTTGCGTGAACCGAACTACCTCAAAACTTGATGACTGGGAGGATAATGCAGCAGAACCAATCCAGCATACCTATGGATGCCGACATGTTTACACAAATAGTTATCGCGACCTTGAAAATGATGATATGACTGACATACGGCGTCATGAATATTAGCACAGTGTCAATAAGCCGACGCGAAAAGACCAATAGATTTCAGAAATGGATTTACCTGTACAACAATTGGACAATTTCAAAATTTGGAGCCCGCAGATGAATCAGCGTACTTAAGCACAAGTTGAGAACTGATAAGTTCCCATTAGCATGTACACAATCACCAGCTTCAGGGCAAGTCTATTATAAGCGAGCCAAGATACATTGTTATGCAAGGTCAATGAAGCAGCGTACAATATAAGTATAAGTAGGAAAAGCTTTCATGGACGATTCAACAGTTGAAGTACACTGGCCTCAAGCTGACATATATATTCACTGAAGTCTTTGTACATTGGCAAGCCTCCTCGTCAGTACTATACTGTGAGAATTTCACCCCCTCAATTAGTTATGGGGATTTAGTTGGGTTTGGAAAGCTCCCAATGTGCCATCACGATATACAATACGTCTCTAATGGAGATGATGTAAAGAAGTTAAACCCTCTGCCAGAGCACAAACTTGGTCCCGAAGCCACGATCCGCCCTCAACGCACTGGCTAAGACGTTGGTTCTGTTCAAAGAGACAATATTGCCTGGGTACAATTTCCCAAAGAGCGCAAGGCCAAGCAAAGGCTCAGTGATGGAGAAAACGTGGAGAGTACTCTGCTCCAGCTCAGGCTCCGATACTGAGAAGACCAAGCCTGGCAGAGAATGTGCGTCCTTGACCACATGAAATATAATGTTTCCTAGGTTCGATGCTTGGCTAGGCTCACTCTTGGGAACATCGTTTACATAGCGCCGACCGCGGGCGATTTGACCTTGACAAACACTGAACACTGTTTTTGGGCGACATCTGAAATCAACCTCGACCTTAAGATGAGCCTGGGAGCTGTTAAGGTTTGGAATGGTGTGACTCTTAAGTACGCACGCGACCCCTTTAGACTGAACTGTGTCTGAGGCTGATTTTGTAGTGTTTGGGGGCAATACACTGCGCTTGGCCGACTCGTATGACGTGTACTCATAACTGTAAAGCACTTCAGACATTGAATTGGCTTCACGGACAGGATAGTATCGCAGCAGGCTGCTAGACAACGATCCACCCATGAATGCCGGTAAGACGGTGCCTTGAGAGTATTGGAACCCAAAGCCACCAGACGGCAAGCCAGATGCCGTCAGGACTTTGGGGCAACATCAATTACAGCTTTTTGGGGGAGGAGGCGACCGGAGATCAGGGGCATGATGAAGGCGTCTGTAGGCTTCTCAAGCATGCGCAAGCCCTGTAGTGCCAGTTCAGAATCAGCCGCGATAACGATGGGGACTTCGTCCCAGTTCTCAAAGGGCATGAGTGCGTTGCGCAGTAGCACAATCCGGTGCGACCACTCGTTGTATAGTTGCATTACCGCAGAGTTGCCGCGTGGACTCATCAGCTCCCCAACTACGTCGCAAGTCCAAAGATGGCCATTGCAGTGACTCGGTATCTTCAAGTTCGGGTCCGCATTCTCAATGTCTAGAGACTCACGAGCTTAGTCGACAAGGGCCGCACCAATGATATCGGCCTGGCTCCTCATTTCTTCTCGTACCGCAGGAGGCATGATTTGACCCAGACTTGATTCTTAATAGGGAAAATAAGCTAGGTCGACTAGAGTACTAGGATGACATGACATAACAAAGCCCGGTGACATATGTTTGAGCATCTTGCTAACCTAAGTAAGTTATGCTGTTTAGTATCACTTGTCGATATGTAAGAGCGAGGAGCGGACGCTGTGCTTCCGAGCCGGGACAAGGGTATCACAATTACAGTACTGGTAGCGGAACTCCCGGAACTTCTAGGTCCGGTCAATGCGCTGGCCAAATAAGTCCTGCACGCTCCGTTGATGAAAACGAGTTTCCACCAACACCTCGATTCCCAATAGCCTTTTCGCTGATTGAGACTCGAAGCAATGCCATCCGTCAGTCCGTTTCAGATTGCCATTCCTGAGGAACGACTCCAAAGGCTGCGCCAGAAGCTCTCGTTGACCGATTTTCCGGATGAAGTGAACCTGGATAGCGAATGGGAAAGAGGATGCCCCCTGGAGAAAATGCAAGAGTTAGTGCGTTACTGGCTTAAAGAATTTGATTGGCGGAAGCAGGAGTGTCTGCTCAACAGAATGCCTCAATTCACCTATGCGGCGGAGATTGATTTGTTTGGAAGATACAACATTCATTTTGTTCATCAGCGAAGTCAGACGCAGAAAGCCATCCCACTTTTGTTTGTACACGGATGGCCTGGCAGCTTTGTGGAAGTCAGCAAAATTCTGCCACTTCTCACGAAAAGCAACCAAGATAAGCCTTCGTTTCATGTAGTCGCACCCAGTCTGATCGACTTCGGCTTCTCCGATGCCAGCGGAAAGGTATGTACATGGGAAATATGATAGGGAAAAGACAACAGCTAATTCTGCTACTAGAAGGGTTTCGGAATGGATCAACACGCAGAGGCATATCATAAACTTATGTGTTCTTTGGGATACCATGTCTATGGTAAGATCAACGCTTGAGTTACGGTGTACCGACATACTGATTTCATGGGCAGTTGTCCAGGGAGGTGACCTTGGATACGCCGTAGCTCGATTCATTGCCTGGAAATACCCGGAGTCATGCGCAGCTCACCACACCAATATGCCGGCGCCTAGTCCTCCCAAAAACGACATCGCAGAACTAAGCGCAGATGAATTGCAAAGGATGAGGTTAACACAGGATTGGCAGAACAATGAGATGGCATACGCTATGCTTCACGCTACAAAGCCCCAGACGATAGGGTACAGTATAGCTGATAGCCCAGTTGGCTTACTCGCATGGATTTATGAGAAGCTCCATGGCTGGACCGATCAATACCCATGGTCCAAGGATGAGATTCTCACATGGGTGAGCATCTACTACTTCTCGAAGCCTGGTCCCGCCGCCACCCAACGCATCTACTTGGAAAACGAACAGAGAACACCTAAAGCTTTCGATCAGGCAGCAAGCTATGTGAACGTGAAGCTTGGTATCTCTATGTTCCCCAAGGAGATACTTCAGCTGCCATCAAGGTGGAACAGGACCTTGGGACCGGTAGTGTTCGAGCGCCGGCATGAAAGAGGTGGACATTTTGCCGCTTGGGAGTGTCCTGAACTCCTGGTTGCCGATCTAAGAGAGATGTGCATGAAGAACAGTGATATCTATGAACACATACAGACCTCGAGTGGAGCCACCATATAGATATCAATACAAACAACTCTCATCTATGTCTGATACGCAGCAATAAATTTTAGAAGCTTCATAAGTGCGTTAAATTGGCGTTATCGCTGACTGTAGATGTGTGAAGCTATATGTTCTTCATGTCATTTGAAGATGCAACAACAAACTGTTAATCGACCCCTTGGTAATAGCTAACGAGGTGTTAGAGACCACATTTGATTGTACTATGTAATGGAAGTTTACTTAGTGCCGCAAAACCTGTGCCAATAATTGTGGAGAAACGTACTTTACAGACTACGGGTAAAGGGCGGTCCGGAACGGCTCCAGTTCCGGAACTCTGCATCGGTCCGAAAGCAAGCGCATAACCATTTGAGAGCGATGTGATAGTACAGAGTGCTTTGGGGAAATGAATGCTGGCATAGTGGACTCTCATCAGTAGCTTCGTCCGTGAATTTATGTCCTACAACCCTGGCATGACCTTACACTGGGTAGTGTTGACGCGTTGGCATGCAGGCCTTGTGATCCACCTTGAACAACCCAAGGTTTCATATTTGCTGGGATCTCACGGCAAGGGCCAATAAAGAATCTCGAACTTTAACTTTTCGTCCGGATTTGACTCGCCTTGCAGACATGCTCTCGGGCCGGGTTTATCACGCCTAGTGTGCTGAAGATAGCTTGGATCACGAGGCATGCACACTGCACGTTATAAAGTCCACTATCCTGTATCTCAAAATCTACCTGCATAGAACAACTATTAGACTGTTTGTTTAATCTAGTCTTACTTTCTTCAGCTGGAAAACCTCTCACTCAGTGCCCAAGATGGGGATACTCAAAGGGCTCAACAATGTCGACTTGTCCCGATACAGCAACTGGCACCTTGCTGGACTCACTATCATCGGCTTGTCTCTGCTTTTTACTATACACTGTATTGTTTCAGCTGTTTACCACATCTTCCTTTCACCTTTACGAAATGTTCCAGGTCCAAAATTGTGGATTGCGTTCCCATCCCTTCAACATATCGTCTTTTTGCGAGGAGATCTCGACAAAGCCCTACTGCAGTTGCACAACAAATATGGCCATGTTGTTCGAATAGGTCCTAGAGAGGTCAGCTTCAACAATGCACAAGCGTGGCAAGAAATCTATGGACATGGTCAAAACTTTGCCAAAGCCAACTTTTTCGAAGAACCGGAGGGACTGCCAGATCATCTGATTTCTGCCAACCAAGCCGATCACAGCAGATACAGAAAGGCCATGTCCAATGCGTTCTCGGAAAAGTCCCTTCGTCTCCAGGAACCGTTGATCAAAGTCCATGTCGATCTCTTCTTGAAGCGTCTCCGTGACCTCTCGGCACTCGGCGAGAAGGTAGATATGGTGAAATGGCTCCATCTCGTTACGTTTGACCTCATCGGTGATCTTGCTTTCGGCGAGCCCTTCGGATGCCTTGAAAAATCCGACGAAGGGAGTTTTGTGCGAGATATGTTCTACTTCATCAAAGCAGGCGCGTACCTCAAGGTGATACAGGATTATGCCCTTCTCAAACGGTTACTTTGGTTTCTGACCCCGAAACATCTCGTTGAGGCACGTGCTGCGCAGCTGCACCTGGCACATACTGTTTCAATGAAGAGGATGAACAACTCAGAGCAGCAAGGCCGTGGAGACTTCATGGATTCCATGGTCGAACGACGTAACAAACCTGGCGGATTGACAGACCTTGAGATCATGGTCAATTCCAACATCCTCATCAGCGCTGGGGCCGAAACTTCCGCCACCACTATTTCTGCCTCAATATTTTACCTGCTCAAGAACCCCACCGTCTTGGCCAAAGTCCAGCAAGAGGTCAGATCTGCTTTCCAGAATGCAGAAGAGATTAATTTCATCACATCCACGGCGAGATTGCCTTACATGATTGCTAGCATTACTGAAGCTATGCGAATGTTTCCTCCCTTGCCAGGCACACTTCCCCGTTTGACACCCGACAACAAGATGACTACGCTATCTGGTTATGACATACCGCCAAACGTAAGAGCACATTCTTAATAGCGGCCCATTATATACTTACATCTGCTAGGTTATAGTTGGCGTCAATCAATGGTCCGCCAATCGCGACGAGAGGAACTTCCATAGGGCCAACGAATTCATTCCAGAAAGATGGCTGAAGGAGATCAACAAAGACCCCACATCGCCGTTCTATCATGACCAGCGCGACGTGGCGCAGCCCTTCAGCGTGGGACCAAGAAACTGCATAGGTCGCAACTTAGCCTACACCGAGACTCGGACCATTCTAGCTCTTCTGCTGTTCGAGTTCGATATTGAGTTATGTACCGAAAGCCAGAACTGGCAGGATCAGAAGACGTGGTTCTGGTGGGATAAGCATAAGATGTGGCTTCGGATTTGTAGTAGAAATGGGTAGTTATAGTAGGGTGTCGCACAATGGAGAGTCATGGTGTTCGATTTGGTTACACGTTTCTTGGCCTTGAATCTCATCCACCAATGATTTTTTAACAGGTTGTATTCTTTGATCAAAGATTGCGAATTCCCAGAACTTGAGTTATAAAAAAACTCTATATAGAACATCATGTAGATAGCTAACGACTCGAGGAGAGAAGTCATCGACCGATGACGCTCGACTATCTAGACGGATGCACAAGACGCCGCCACTCCCGACAGTAGCTTATGTAGCTCTAGCGTGTCTTTACGGGCCATTTTCCGATACCAAATTTAGAACCACCTTACTCGAATGGCAAATTCGCCCCGCTTGCCAAGGCGTTTCGGACTAATGATACGAGAGATCTACTCACCGTATCCTCATCATATAATTGGCGATTGCCGTATTGGAAATCTTTCGCGATCAATCCAACCATTGTATTTCGCCAACATGATTGCGGCATCACTGTGGGCGTATGTTTTCCTGAGCACTGCCTGCGTCTCGGCTTATGACGTGGACCACAAACGTAGTGCTGTAACTGATGCAGAGTATGTGCATTCGAAAGCAATGCTGGACGCTTGGATATCCTTTCTAATACTTCCATTCAGAGCTTCAGTATGCGGTACTCACATTGACCTTGAATCTTCCTCCGCTTCCGAAGCGTACGCAAGACGGGGTAATGCGAAGCAAGTCATTCGGTCTAGACAAGCAGATAACTCATCTGTGCTACTACCTGTCGACGTGGGCTGCCTCAGATTCGTTAACATGAGTGGTCCCATATTGACTGTTTGTAGGTTTACATGCAAGTGCTGAGTACCGATGGAACAGAGCTAGGCGGCGACATCAGGTATGTTTGGACTTGCGCCTCGACTGCGAGTCCACAACGGCATCCATGAACGGTTATTACAGCAAAGCCGTGGCTAACGATGGCTTAGCGATGCAACGATCGATGCACAAATGCAGATCTTGGACGATGCTTTTCGACCGGTCGGATTCAAATTCAATCTTGTTGACACAGTTCGCACGATTAATGAGGAATGGTATTAAAGCCCTTGGGTTCATTGAAAGCGCAAGTCGAATCGCTTACTCATTGTCTGTTGACCAGGTATTACAACCTCAAGATCGCTACTACATACGAAGACGAGGTATCGTTGGCGCTTCGAAAAGGTGGCAACGCTACTTTGAATATATACACTATGGGGTAGGATAATCCCTTTGGATTGCGCCAAATCAAGCTGATTATCGACCCCAGAGGACTTAATACCACAACCTTGGCGTGGGCCACCGTAGCCTCCCAGCTGCAATACCGTGCAGCTTATGACGGTGTATTTTTGAACGGCACAGGATTTCTTGGAGGTAGCGACCCGACATTCACTAAGGGCATCACGCTTGTTCACGAAGTTGGCCACGTACGTTCATATTTGCTTAATGTAGCCCAGAGCTTTCTCGAGAAAAGAGATTAGAGATAACCAATGCTAACCTGCTTCTCTAGTGGTTTGGGCTGTATCATAACTTTGCTAGCGGCTGCCGACAAAGTTACGACTACGTATGTTCAATTTCCTATCATTTTCGAATCATAGATATAACAAGCTTGCTAGGTTGATGACACTCCAATCGAAGACCAGCCAAACGGTTTTGGGGGTTGCCCAATTGGGAGGTTCGCTTCTACCCTCAATACTAGTACCGCGCGGTCTCAGCTTGCTAACCTGGAAAACAGGGATTCGTGCCCCGATCAACCCGGTTTGGATCTCATCCGTAAGTCAGGTCCAAACAAAAGTTGCAGAGAAAGAACTAACGCGAATGGTACTATCTAGACAACTATATGTCGTACTTCGATGATGACTGCCGCAACTCTTGGACTCCAGGTCAGATCCAGAGGATGCGAGAGCAGATGGCGAAGTTTCGCGATATCGTTTACCCTGGTATTGATGTAAATGATATACCAGAGGACTCGTTGTGAGGATTCGCTCAAGGATTCGACCAGGTCCTGCACCAATCGCATTTGGCTCTCTGTTTTTCGTCAGAGATCGCTGCCTCATGGGCTGTGCATACGATAACACTTCAGCGTTGGTAATCCAACAACAATGATGGATTAATGCTCGAAGTTCAGCTGTGCGAGTATTGTTTATATCATAATTACAGCTCTTTGTAGAGCATAGTTATCTCTCAGTAGTTTTAATCGTAGTCGTTATTGCACTTGAGCTCTTCAGTTTTCATCGACTTCGCCTTGCATAAGGCATCGAAGCCGAGAACACCTTGTTACTCTCGCGAGTGATGTAATAGGTAACATCGTCGCGCAGCTTTTCACCTCTATCCCTAAGCTTTCGGACTTTCACACGGACAAGACTGACCTCATGGCCACTAATAACGGTGTTGGACTACAACCTGCGCTCCATTTCACAAGCTCTAGTACCTTTAAAGTTCAGAGCCGTTGTGTCGACCAATTCAGAGGAGACTTGAAAAGAAAACTTCATAACAGCTGGCGTTAGAAACGCTGCTAAGGTCTGGCGGTTGGACACGCCCTCCTATCAGTCGGCTATTGACTATTTCGCGAACATTGAGGAGGGAAACCAGGCCACTCAACACCGCGATCCTACAGATGGTCTCATCCACCACCAAGAGAACCGGATGAGCGATGAAGAGTGTTCGCCTGGAGCCGAAATCCGTTTTCAAGGCGTGGTTCGGAACGACCGCAAGCTAGGAGAATCAGCTCGCAAGATGGGTTATGGGTCGTTGTATGTTTCGCCGTGATTGTCCATAATATTATTGAATTGGATATAATCCATTCAGAGCGCTGCAGGAGTGATCAATCACTTTCGAATGTTTTGCAGATGTTATTGGATATCATCCTCAAAAGATCATCCTCCAATCTCGTCCTCCCGCCACGACCCTGGTCACTAAGAATACAACGAAAGCTGCAAGATAAAGTCCTCCAGCAAAGATTATCAAGCCTGCGTATTCTCCTCCATTTGCCTCCAGGACGGCACCGGCAGCAGGAATACCTATCAAGGCAGCAAAACTCGCGATAGAAAACGTTGTTCCATTCCTCTTTCCGTAGTCTTCAATTTTGCACACTGAACCAACGCAGACAGGGGTCAGACTAATGGCTGTGCCGGACCAGAAACCAAAGACGACTGCAAAAGCTGTTATAGCTGCCTCGTTGCGCAGAGCTGTAAGCCATAAAGCGAAAATAAGCGCTGCGCATGTTAAAGACGTGCCGATCATCACGTTGAATACACCGAAACGGTCGGCAATGTAGCCAGGAAGCGCTCGTCCGGGAATAGCACCGCAGTTGAGAAGGGCACTGAGAAGGTAGGCATGCTGCCGTTCGACTCCAGCGTAGATGGCGTACAACGAGATAAACGAGTACGGGATGAATACTGCGAACTCCACCAGAAATACAGCGAGAGTAGTGAGCGCGTAGTTGATGTCCTTCAGTGCTTTGAGATCGATAGAAGCCCCGGCATGCTTGTTGTTTGGTAGTCGTTTTTTCAACAAGATGCAGGCGACAATGCACATGATGAGGCATACCAACCCAACGATACGCATTGTCCAAGGGAAGCCGATAATCGGGGCAAGGTAGAGAATCAAGAGTGGGAAGACGACTCCACCTACACCTCCAGCTGTGCAAGCTATACCGATTGCAAGAGCCCGGCGCTTGCAGAACCAATGGCCTACAGCAGACACTGCAGGCGTAAACAATAAACATGCTGAAGAGCCGCCAAGCACGCCAAAGGACAGCAGTAGCTGGTAATATTCTGAATATGTCTTAGTCTTGAAGATTCTTGTTGATTGAATCTCGATGCCACTTACCTGTAGAGACGCTCATACACATGATAGCCGCAACCATTCCAACGCTTCCGGGCACGATTAGATATCTTATATCATGGGCGTCGAACATCGGGCCTACAGTCACATGTTAGATTTACCACAAGGGATTGATGACCGAACAAGTAGGTACTTACCGACTTGGGCACCGCCTATGTATAAGAAGAATGCATAAGCACTGAAAATCCAGCCAATGTTTGATTCGGAGTAGCCGTGCAATTGGTTCTCGGAGACCCATGCTTGGAGAACACCAACAGTATTGAGCAATCCCATGGATGGTATCATGGCACACCATGCGCCGAGGACCACCGACCATGCTGTCGCACCACCCTCAGGATACTCTGTCTCCTCGTCATCATCGAGATGTTGCAAGGATTCCAACGGATCGTTGCACCCATATTCTGATCTGGGTTCGATACTGGCAAGCATTGTCTCTTCAATTCGAAGACTAGCACGGTCGATTTGGGGTGGTATTGTAAGCGACATGGTGCAATTGGACCTTCACGAGTACAACTGTACTCAGGGTTAGGGAAATGTGACTTGGGCCAGATAGCGTTCCCAAGTATGGGGATGAGATTAGATTGACGCTGTGCTTTTACTTGTTTGTGTTGAAATTTCCGCACATCAGTCTCGCTGACAAAATTACTTTCAATGTTCGAGTTTTTCCACAGCGGCAATGTTAGCTCCGGGGGTTTCGTTGGGTCAACGCGTCGAGTCATGTCGCCATGGGTACTTGCTCCAGCGCGGAATTCCCCGACCAAAACCGATTCGTCCAATAGCAGCCATGTTTGCCTACAGGCAATTCATACACATGCGCTTCGAATCTTCTGTCATTACGTTTCTTCGCAGAATTAGTGGAACGAAGGAATTTATCTCTGGGAGCCGTAGACTTGCACAATTGTTGGCGACACATGCAGGAACAACTCGCGAGTCGGAAGTTTTGGTGTCGTCCAGCAGCGTGCGTGATGCTGTCTAGATGATTATCTGTGTGTGCATGTACACGTGTGAACAGTTTTTCGCCGTCGAGTAGTCGCCTGCAACTGCGTCAAGATTTCGAGGAGTAATGCGCAATAGATACATTCTCAAAGGAGCCGTCGGATGATATGGGAAACAACCGAGTATGATGTCAGAGTGAGACCGACGTGCAGTATCAGACGCGTCGAGAGACCATCGACGACGCGCTCAGGTGCTGTGCTCTCATTGGTCAGCACGTCTGGAATGGGTAAGCTAGTCAATTTGCGCCCGCGTTTCCTCAGCGCACCCTCTACAGCACACAATGCAGTTTAAGGAGCAAAGCATCAACTGGTATTCCAATTCGATGGGTCTTATCATCATTCCACCTTCTACCGTATCAATAACAGGTGCGGCTACTTATCGTGCGATCCGTGTCGAAAGGCTTGAGCGAGAGACCAAGTGCATTTGCCGATTTAACTTTCTCGACAAGATTTTCGATGCGGAAGTCTGTGAAATTATACAAGATTCCTCAATAGGATGCATATAGTTCGTATCGCAAGGCTCTAGTAGTGTGTCTACTAGCTGCTTTGTAGGGGTAGAAGGGGCCGTTTTTGCTCGTATGTTGCAATGGTTTGTACTCGCCTTGGAGTACGTACATCTTGACATTACGCATTGTGATCCACGAAACTAGAGTATTTCTACTCGTGAGAATCACAGCAATAAGCCGACTTTGAATTTCCTTATTGCATGTTGTGAACTTATTTCAAATCAACTTCTCGTCTTCCTTGACCTTGTTTTGCTTATACTCTTCAAAACTGAACCCTACCTCGTCCAACGTTCTACAATCGGCCCTCTTCTCCCCAAGCTTGCTAAACGCCTGTCGTATAGCTGGGAAGTTCTCGCGGCACCAGAACTCCCACTCACCCCACACCGGCGGCACCATTCCTTTACCGTCATTATCTAACTCCGCCTTGGTTGTCGCGCTGAGTGCCCAGGCGGATAGCTCGTTGATGTACTGCCCGTCTTTTGGGAAGTGGAGTAAGTGGAATGCGCGTCCATCACCCGCTTCTGCCTTCTGCTCGTCTTCCCATTTCTGCATCTCATCAAGGGGCGGCAGGGAGATGCGGCCCGAATATACGCGTGCCAGAACCGAGGCTTGAGCTTCTGCGACGGGGAAGGGTATGACTCGTTGTGGTAGCGCGAGGAAAGATAGTGTTGGTTTTGGCACATAGAAGAGGTGCTTGTACGTGTGGTTGACGTGGCTGCCGTCTGTAATCAGTTTTGGGGTAACGGCCGAGAGAAAGGGGAGACTATAGAAGTAGCCTGTTGCAAAAACGATGGCGTCGACGTCATGAACAAATGTGCCATCTGAGAACTTCACGCCTCGTGTTGAGGGGTCAAAGCGTGTGATCTGTGGTAGTTCGCGCCGTCGTAGATCGGTGGGTGTAGCGCTGACGAAGAGATTGGTGGACTTGCTAGACCAGAGCAGTGGGAGTTGGCAGTGCTCGGCGATTTGGTTGCTGATATCGGCACCAGAGGCTGAATTACCAACAACTATGACTTTCTTGCCTTTGAACTCTTCGGGACGACGGTAGTACTTTGAATGAGAGATCAGATTCGGATGGGTCTTGTTCCACTTCGCGATTTCGGGGATGTCCGGAATATAAGGCGTAATGAAGTGTCCGTTTGCTACTATCACAACGTCGTAGGTTTCGTTTGTGGTGGTGGAAGTGCGTAAGTCGCGAGAGGTTACGGACCACGCGCTGCCTGGGTCGTCACTTGTTGGAACAACCTCCGTTACCTGAGTGGAGTAGCGAATCGTATCTTCGACGTCCTTGCCGTAATCCTCGATGTACCTAAGCACGGTCTGGTGCTTGGGAAAAAGCGGACTGTCTTTCGGCCAATCAAGGTCTTTGAATCCCATCAGCCCTCGCGGGATGTTCGTCTCGAGTCTTTCGTACATTGGAGATACAAATGTTGACCCCTTCGAAGCGCCGTTGACATTGGCCAACGCCTGTTTCCAGATTGGGTCTTGATTTTTTCCATAGGGATTCGTTTGAGGCACTGTGAATAAATCCTCGTTTCTATCATCAGCTGTGTAGTTCCAGATGCCGCCATCTCTTGGGCGTTGCTCAAACAAGGCAATTTTAGAGAATGCCTTCTCTGCGCGAAGATACCTGACATGGTCAATGTGTCGCCCTAGGCATATCATCCAAGACATACTTTGCAGCTGTTAACCCAGAAGGACCAGCCCCTATAACGGCTATGCTCTTTGCTCCGACGGACAGCATGGCCGATGACGGGCCCTTAGAATCCCCCATGAGTAGTGGCGAAACGGGAGGTAATATCACATTTACCAGTGAGAGATGGTTCAAAATCTCACTACCATACACAAACGTATCAAAGACAAAAACAGAAACCCAAGTTTCTGCAACAAAATCTGCAACGTCAACATCAACGCCAAGGAAATGGCATGATCAAGCGATGGCCGGCATGGATCGGAAATTGTCGGAACACGTGGGGATGGCTCGGGCTTCATGCCTCTTTGAGTTAAGTACGACTATGACATCACCGACCTGTCCAGCGCCGCGAGCTTCCTCCACATCGCTCGAATACCACCGTAACATTTTCTGAGTTCCACCTAGTGAGAAGTGTCAAAGTTGAAGGCCAAAGCAGCATATACACCTATAAGCCCATTGTTCCATATCACAAACAAGCTCGAACGGGTTGTCCAGTTGTAGATGATCTGCCCAATGTGTTCATGTAAGATCCTTGATAAGAGTATGGGTACACCAAAGGCCAAGTGAACAGTAGTAGATCTTGTTGCGATACACTCCGTCGCAATCATGGTCCTCGCGCGTGTGATGCGAAGTTCGACGGCAAGGATTATCAATCAGTGCGAAGGAACTTATCATGCCACGCCTTGATGCGACTAAAAGCCATGTCAATCAGTCCCGGGTACCGCACTATACTAAACATCAAGTCGCAAGAGAGACTCATGCATAGTATCCTCTGCATTGATCTCAGTGTCGACAACAACTTCCAAACAATCACTAATCGATAGCAATGGAGCTTGGCTTTTTTCTCAACTCTTTTCAAGCACAAGCTCCGTAGTGGTGTTATCACTGGAAATCTCCACAACCTGCCTCGACTTACCATCTTCTGTAGCAGTCTTCGTAGTTATAGTTCCGAAGGTTTCCGTTACTATGAGAGAGTATTTGTCGCTGCCATTGAACGTGCCCCCCAGCGATAGCGTGACCGACGCATCTGCTGGCACAGCCAAGTCCTTTCCATTGGCATCTACCTTGACCAGCCATTGTAAGACAGTACTCTGCGTTGCTGAGATGCCCTGCTGAGCACTACCAGATGTAACTGCGAGCCTGATCTGGCTGTCGCTAGCCAAGCCTATGTTCCTCATGACAACAGAATCGAGGTCGCCTGCGTTGGTTCCTTGCTTGAAAGGTCCGACCCCCTTGAATAGCGTACCGTCGGAGCCGCCTGAAGTGAAATTTGTCTCAATGGTGCTGATGGTGACCGTAGCCTTGCTAGTATTTTTGCCGACGATGTCAAAACGATTTGTGCCCACCCTACTCCACGACCATTCAAGCCGGTTCGCCGGCGGGGTATCCAAAGAACTCACAAAAGTATGGCCATACTTTTTGATCCAAGTCTCCAAAGGTGAGAGTGGCGGTCCTCTGACCAAGGAGACGATCCAGCTGACAAGAGCAACCACAATGCCGATCACAATCATTATAGGACCAGCCCAGGCGCAAATTGCGAGAACCGAACTCCATATCGCGACACCGGCCAAGCTGAGGAGTATGATGCCATCTGCAATTGTGGCCAAGACAATTAAGACCCACACGATGGTGTTTAGTATGCTGTCGACCAAGGGCCGATCTAACCAGTGTGTAAATAGTTCGATACCCATCTATATTAACAATGCGAGATTGAGTACAGCAGAGGCTATCCAGAACTAGTTTACGCGCTAATTGAATTTTGCTCTATTATAGGTAGGGTTAATTTACATGTATATATAATTAATATACTCTTAGTAGTTCTACTAAATCTAGCTATTATATTCTAGATCTCTTATAACTTTATATTAATAGAGATTTTTATTAAGGTAGAGAATAGAAGAACCTATAATAGGATAGGCCTAGTAGAACCTTAGTAAGTAAAGCCTTAGAGCTTAGTAACCCTAACTACTAATACCTACCCTTAGCTAGCCTACTAGAAACAGCTAGTATACTACTAGAAGAACTATAAGTAAAGAAAAGCTAGTATTATAGATTCTTAATAAATTTATTTAATTTATACTAGTAACTACTCTTAGAGTTAGCTCCTTATATTTAAATTTACTTATAAAAATACTTCTAGGTATTAAAAGTACCTTAGAAACTACTAGTAGTATATCTATTAAAAGAGATACTATAGTTATTAAGCTAAAAGTAAAAGCTTTATAGCTAGTAGAAATAGGCTTTATATAAAAAGTAATTAAAATATACCTATAAACTATAGTAGAATAGAACTTAGATAAATAAAAAGTTTTACTAAAACTTTAGCTAGTTTCTTAGAGTCTCTAAAAGAATAAATAATAAATAATAAGGTTTATAAATATACTAATTTTAATAGCTAGTCTATTATTAGTAGTAGCTAAAAAATTACTAATTAAAGAATCTAATAAAGAGTTCTTCTTAGAAGAACTATATAATATACTATAAATACTAACCTAAAAGATTAACTTTATTAAAAATAATATACTACTACTACCTACTTCTTTTAAATAAAAAGTCTAATAATTAGAAGAAGAGGTATATAGATTAAAAGTAGTTCTAGTACTAACCTTTTTTATAGTAACTACTAGAACCTATATAAAAAGCTTAAAGATACTAGATTTTAACTACTTTAATAGTAACTAAAAGAACTATTAAAGGTTTTAAACCTAAATAAACTATAAGCTAGAATATAATATTAAAGAACTAAAATTAGGCCTTAGGTATATCTTTAACTAATTAAAAAGGCCTATAGCTAGTACTACTCTATTATAAATAGATTATAATAGAATAGGTACTATAAAAGGCCTATAGATATTTTTAAATAAATAATTTATAGATAACTTATATACTAAAAGAGCTAAGTAAAAACTTTAAACCTTTTAATAAAGAAAGCTTTTCTTATAATACTTTAACATAGAATTTATAAGGCTAGCCTTTAAAGTAGAAGAAAAGAGTAATAATAATAACTTAAAAATAAGGTATTTTAGTGCCCTATAGCCTAACTTATAAGACTAAATAATATCTATAAAAGT